ATGGTATCAAATGTGTGAATCAGGATGTTTCATATTTACCAGTTTACAAACAACATGAGATTCAGGAGCCTGACACGATTTAAATCAAATTCAAATTAAAAAAATACATTGTATGGGGATTTTCAAAAGTGCACAGTGTTGGCCTAACTTTGCTCCCATTGAAGTCAGCGGTAAAGCTCTCATTAACTTCAGTGGGAGCAGTGTTATGCCAATGCTGAGGGTGTTAAGAATCACACCCTATAGATCTAAGGTAAGACACGAACAAAATCACTGGGACTCTATGTAAGTTTCCCAGTCCTGCACAGGCAGATCCTTATGCCAGGGCAGAGTCTTATTGAAGTGAATATGGCTGTGTAAATGCATACAAATCTGTGTACACAAAACCAGTTGCAGGATCAGGGCCTTACCTAGTATTTCATATATTGGAGGTGGACTGTGTGTCCGACCTTCACTAATGCTGCTCGTAAACATTTAGAATCCATTTCTGCTCTTAGATTCCAAGATGCCCTTAATCACGCACTGTCCTTTTTAACTTATGGTTGATCTGAAGGCTGCAAACTTTCCTGTATTTCAACCTCTCCACAGGTTTCAGAGGAACAGCCGTGTTAGTCTGTATTCGCAAAAAGAAAAGGAGTACTTGTGGCACCTTAGAGACTAACCAATTTATTTGAGCATGAGCTTTCGTGAGTAGCTCACGAAAGCTCATGCTCAAATAAATTGGTTAGTCTCTAAGGTGCCACAAGTACTCCTTTTCTTTTTGCGAACCTCTCCACAGTGATTCAGGCCCTTGTAACCTCAAGCATTCATTTACCCTAGAGTTCTACTTTGGCCTACTTTTGAAGAGCATGTCAGCTGGCACAATGCAACAGCTTAAATTTGAGAGGTGAGTCTGTAAGACTGATGTTCCATACCCTACGTTGTCTACCTACTTGCTTCTAGAAGCAGTTCATGGTGTTGGTTGTGCTCTATAAAGTCTCAAATATCAGAGATTGCCTCCAGCTATGTTCTGCTGTGATCTGCTGCTGCGTTTCTGTTGTTGGTTCCTGGGATAGTCTGCTGGATTTCACATGGGTGTAGGGGTTTGCACTAGGGGAATCTGAGCAAGAGAGGGGCCATAAACAATGGTAGTAACCCATCTAGATTTCTGGTGGCCGTGCACACTTGTGTCATTCTGACTTCACTGGGTGATTAGATCACATTGCAACTATCCACTCAATGGTATTACAGATTAAGATTCACAGTTGCCTTTTAAAACTGGGAGAACATGATCTTTCTAAATTCTAGATCCAGTAAATGCTTGAGGTTGTGCTTAATGAAGTCTAGTGGGTCAACAACCAAACAGAGCATTCTAAGACTGCACAAAATAGTTTGACTAATTACCTCTGCTATGTCCTCTGCACTCTGTCCCAGGCTTTGGAAAATCTGTTTGTAATTTTTAAGGTAAATATTAGTAAACATGTCAGCAGTTTCTTCATCAGCAGCCGAAAGATCCATTTTCATTCCATCTTCAAACACCTTTTTTTCAAATTCTGTGATCACTGGGCCTGGCTCAATCAGACTTAGCCTGTTACAAGAACAATAACATATTGGTGATTTGTCCTTCTATATGGGAAACGTGTAAAGCTTTATATATGTAAAGCTTCTATATGGGAAACGTGTATATCCTTTATATAGGTAGTGACTGGCTGCAAATAAATGAGCACTTGTTAACATTTTTTAAACAATACATTCTTTAAGGGGGAGATCCATACCACAGCTCTTGCCCTGTGTATCTCAGACAGGCACTGGGGGTTTCCCTGGGAGAACAACACTGGCTGCACTGCTGGGGAGCAGTGGAACTATCAGTCTAGGGCAGAAGTGGGAGCAGGAGACAAAGCCTCAGCTGCTGGCTCACAGCTGTAGATCTCTGTAACAAAACCTAAAAATGATGGTAAACCTCACTGCCTTTTGGACAAAGTGCTAAATGGCTCTCTTTGCTATCTCTCCTACATAGTAGTAATAGTAGAAGTATTTAAAAGAAAGAGAGAGAGAGATCACCCAAAGATTCTCTTTGGTTACCTCTTGGGTGTATATAATTCTGGAAAGCACTCTTATTCTGTGGTACCCACAAAGTACAGTACAAATGCTTAGGCAGAAAGTCCAGCTGCCCAGACTTTTGCTGCTGTTGGGCTCGCTGGACCTATGGAGGAGGAGCAGGATTTGCCCAGAAGTGCATAATAGTAAAGCTAAGAAATACTTAAGGTCCCTGCACCAGTTCCTTCTCCAGCTCCATTCTCAAGTTTTAAGTATGAAAAGTCCTTCCTGTTTACAACCGTAGTTATCTATTGAACAAGGTTTTTATACAAAAGATTTTTGGCCAGTTCTGTGGCTGGGTTAAACTGTTATGGAATAACTGTACTTTGCCCCTTATTCCTAAGGGCTATACCAGGCTATTGATTTTTAAGCAGAACTTCCAAATTAAAACTTCTGCACAGTGCTGCCTTTGCTTACATTATCGCTCGTCACTATCATTATCGCAGTTCCACATTTCTCCATGCAGCCTTTTTCTTCTTCCTTCTTTCATGCTGCCTCCTATGCCTTTAATGTCCTCTAATCCTATATGCCACAAAGATTTCTTGTCTCCTTTAAACCCCTTCTCAGAGCCCACCTATTTACACATACAGTAATTCTCTACAAAATTCTCATTAGAAACTAATACATTTTAAGTAATGATATAAAAAAAGTTATGAACTACCATGTAAACTACCTCACAATCTTATTTTGTGCATCCCTTTTGCTCATGCTCTGTTCACTTAGACTGTAGGCATCTCCTCTTTCTGTCTTGCTTTGATTGATTTCCATTGTAAACTCTTTGAGGCAAGGCCCCATTTTTATTCACTATTGAAAGTGCTACATACCACTATGTTGTTATATAAACGTCTCCAATAATCATTATAATGAAAGTCATTATTGATCATTTTCACTAATGTATCTGGGTACTACAGATTAGAGAAAACATTCTCTTTGAGGTACACATATTACATGACCACATCCCCATAGTACGGTAGATGAGAGTCCAGGTTTCCAGGGATGTATATGAAAGCTATACATATTTTTTCAAAGCTAAACTTACTTCTAATCTGAATGCTGTAGGTCATGTTTATTTTGTCATTTAAATGTTTGCAGTACTTTGGTAGGGAGGGCAAGGGAACTTCTATAAGAAGGTTTCAATGGCTTCTTGTGAATGTATAGCTTCAATTCAAGAGGAAAAATTCTTCATCCTCTTTCTCCGGGACAGCAGCCTGCTATATAAGGGTTGTACGACTCCTACTAGCTCAAGATATATTTTAAAGCACAGTCTGATATGTACCTCACACCTTTGGGTCAACACTTACTGAAGTTTAAACTTGAGTGCTTGTATGGCTAAACTTTCACAGAATCCTTCCACAGCAAATTTAGATGCAGCATAAACATCATTGAACAAAATACCTGAAGGCAAAAACAAAATAGTTACAGATCATGTTAAGATCATTTTAAGTTTTTGAGGGGCTTATATTTCCTAAAATATAAGCTGTTTGTGGTTATGAGAGCATGAAAAAAATGCTCCTGATTTATGTTGTGCTAATTCAAGTTATGAAGACGTTAAAACCACTCCTATTAAATGCACTGGGGTGACCAAGCCTTTTTTTGTTTTGTTTTTTTTGCATACCTGCTGAGCAGCGATTGTCTCCTTTGCACCCTGACTATTATGATCCCTAGGTGCCATTGGCAACTGGCACAGGTTAGAGCAGCCTTCAAGCTGTTCCTTGGCCAAAGCAGAGGATCTAGTGCATGGTATTTATGCTAGATATTTTGTTGTCTAATACAGCGATCTACATGTGTAATACAATCTGCAGCATTTGGCATGGCAGCTGTGTTGCAATGCAAGCAAGAGATCTAAGATTTAAAAGATTTGGATTTTTCACTTCTTGGTGACTCGGAGGAGGCAATATACAACCCTCTAAGATGGATGGTGAGCATCATGTTGCTCATTAGCAACTCTTAGTAGCCAAGGCCTTGACCCTATAACTGCCCACTCGCATGAATAATCCATATGTGAGAGGCCTATTAAAGTTATTGAGAAGATGCATACAAGTAAGTTTATGCAGGGTGGAGCACCAAATTAAGAGCAACATTATCTGGCTCTAAAGTGAGGTCCATTTGATGTTTCCCCTTTGGGGGTTAGTGGCAACACCTGGGTGTCTAGTAAGAGGGAAAGCCTTACAGAAAGAAAATACTGATTTGATAGTCTGGGATATGGAGGACTTGGGACATGGAGGACTCCAATGGAGGTGGGAAAGGACCTACTGATCAAACAATTAGAATATTTCAGTGTAGAACTGTTGATTCCATCTTTTTGTTCTGTTTTTTTTTTTTTGTGGGGGGCAGAGAGAGAGAGCAGTGTTGGAAGACCAACTTTGTATATACTGCTTGGAATATTTTCCTGTGTCAAATATGTGAATTACTAACAGACTGCATATGTACTAAATCTTTTGAAGGCAGAGCTTTTTTTAAAGCTAGTTTCACAAAATACCTGTGCATAAAAAAAGTGTATTAAAATGTGTTGGTCTTTCCTGCATAGTCCCTTCAAGCAAGACACAGAGACAAGTTTCCACATGAAATCACTTTGTGAAAAGAGCAAAGTGCTACTTTCCAGAAAACTCAGACACCGTTATTATGGTCCTAAATCTGCCAGCTTTACTCACAAGCAGTAGTACTTTACTCTGCAAGTAGTCCCATTAAAATTAAATGAGAGTACTGACATAATATATTACTCAGTGTGAGTAAGAATGTAGAACTGAAGCCCATGTTTGTAAATTGGAAACAATAACTTCATATACTAGATCGCATTCACATTTTTCTGAACTGAAAAATGTGAGTTTTAAATTACAAATAATTAGTACATAATAATACTTTGCCTTGTATTCCCATTACACTACTTATTATAACTATATGTCCACTCTTTCTCTTCTTCATATCAGGTAAAATCTCCTTCAAAAGGCGAACCAATCCGAAGAAGTTTGTGTCCATCACAGTTCTCATCTCATCTATGGTCTGGCATTCAATAGGTCCAATGAGCCCCATTCCAGCATTGCTAACTGTACAGATGCAAAACACAATAGTGAGTAGTAACGGCAATAAATATTAACTTAGCACTTTCACTGGAAAACACGTGGTATAAATGAGTGACTGGAATAAGGGATTAAAACACACAAGAGCAATTAGTTATTCAGCTTTTCACTGAAACCTTGAGATTACATTTGACATGGAATGTCTTTGCTTTTACTCAAATACATTTTAAAATATCTGCTATTCTGAAGTTTTTCTTGTTTATTTCTGATTTATGCCTTACTTTTTTTCTTTAAATCAGGAAAAGGTAAGGGAAAAAATGAGCAAAAACTTCCCTATGATATTTGCTTATAATTCAGTATTAAGAATTAGGGGCCCAATCAAGTCAAATGGCATCTCAGTTTACTTCACTGGGTATTGGATCAGGCCTTAGTATGTTTGTTTGATATTTTTGGTCTACTTTGTGTTTAGCGCCTCATAATGTCAGTTTATTTTTTTTAAAAATGAACTGGCATTGGGGGTTGAGAACTTTGTCACTATGTGGGGGTCAAAAGAAGATTCCATTTGAGTGCTTGTGGTTTCAAAAATCCAGAATGGTCATGCCATAATATGAACACTTGTTAGTAAGAAGTGGAATGTCAAATTGGAGCATAGTGCAATTTGCAGAAAATCATGTTAATTTTTACCTTGCTGTTCTGCTGCTCCCCTATCATCTCCCCCCAAAAGGCAGGCTCTGCTTCCTCTTAGCCAAGATTTAAAAGCTGAGGGTGTAGTTAGTTGCCATATTATGTTATAATTTATTTTTACAAAATATATTACAGAAAATTTACTAGTAAAGTATAAAATAAAATGGAACTATAACTGTTATTAGAAATTAACCATGTGCATTTGATGATGCATTAGTCTTTTAATTATTTATTCACTTACTTGCTAATTCACAAGGGATCACCCTATTGTTAGAGCAAATAAATAGGGGTCTACTGTGTTCAGAGGGTAGAGGTGGTCTTAGGTCTCAAGTGCAGGATGGAGAATCAGGAGATCCAAGTTCTGTTCTCAGCCTTGCCACTGACCTACTGGATGATTTTGTAGAAGTTATTTGATCTCTTTGTGCCTGAATTCAATTAATTAGTATTTGTAAAATGGCTTGAGAACCTTGAATGGAAGACGTTATAGAAGTGTACTGTATTATTGGTTTTATTCATATATTTATACTTAAATCCATAAACATTTTTAGAAAGAATAATATGTTACAGAAACATCTCTGAAATATTTAAAAGGACCCTTAAATTAAATCTTGTATCCTGACTTCTTGTCCATCTTTCATTTGTGTTCATTACTTGCCTAATATATCAATCCTTCTGTCAGGGATGCTACTGACGCAAGTTTTAATAGACTCTTCATTGCAGACATCCAGTTGTTTAATTTCCAGGGTTTTACCCAAGGTTTTGCCTGCAGCTTCTGCAAGTTTGTCCTTCCTGGTCAGATTCCTCATGGTAGCATACACTGTAAAGTATTATAAATAAGTAATCAGAAATGTAACTACAGAGAAAGCTTTTCCTTTGAGAATGACAGGAGACACAAGTTACAGTGCATACAACCTTTAAGTCCGTATTTTAGTGCTTAGATATCTTGGTGATAGGGCCTTGATAACAACCTAAAACAGAATGTATTTTAAATTTTTATATAGTGCTTCTAACTTTCCTAAATCAGATTTTGGGAAGGAGCGAATGGAGAAATAAACCACTTATACAGCCACGTTCATAGCTATGTGTTTTTATTTCTATATCAATTAGGGAAGATACGGTAGAAAAACTAAGCCCAAGATTTTAAATAACGGGTGCCAAAGTTAGGCTCCTAAGTCCACATTTAGGCACCTAAATAATGAGTTAGAAGCCTATCTTTAGGCACTCATTTTTGAACATCACAGCCAGTGTATTTAGAAAAGCAGCCAGGATTTTACATGGGAGTGAAACAAATGATTCCTCAGACTGCAGAATTGTTTTGCAAGATATTTATCATCGTATAGATCAGCTTTAATATTACTGTGACTTAATTACTCTAACTTCCATAAATCCATACAATTGTTCCCTGGTGAATAAGACACAGAGAGTAAACCTGATCTGAATTGCTAAATTTATTTAGTCAGCTACATACAATTGCAGCAAATATTTCTGTTTTGTAAGGCAGACAGTGAAACCAAGTTTTCCCTCTCCTCCCTCATGGGAGTAAATGCAAGGAAGAAATACTGAATCCTGCCTCTCAGAAACAAATTGCTAATTTAATTAAGGGCTCCCAGACACAATGTTTCTCCTCCTAAAATTAGGAATTGCATTTACACCAACAAAACTTTGCTAAGTGCCAAGTAAAGCTATCTGCAGTTGTGTGAAGGACTAACCTGTAAAAAGGTACATTTATTTAGTGTGCTGCAAATGCATTTTTGTTTTTTTAATTTAAAAAGTTTCCATTTTTATACCACTGCTACATTTATCATCTGTTAATTCAGATAAACATTTCATTTCAGTACAGTTACAGAACTGCCATCTGTTCGCAAAAATTAGTACATTTGATTGCATTGTATCTTCCTGTCAGGAAAGGGAAAATTAATAAGAGTGGCGGAGAAGGGAAGCTAAACAGAATTCAGGTACAGACTGGTGAAAATCTATCCATAAGACGGTGAGACACTCAGCACTTAGCACAGTCCACTCTGTTACATCACAAAATGAAAGTGACTAACAACATGGAAGATACAGTACTGTGTGATATTAATTTCAGAAATATCATTACCTTTAAATCTTTTCTGTTCATCTCTGGCCATTTTTACAGCCAAGGCCAGTCCGATTCCTGAGGAGCAACCTGTGATGAGTACAGTTTTCTGAGCCATTATTTTCAGCTGGACGGCAGCAGATATAGTGGGAAGTCTTGCTACTCTGATGAACAATCACCTAAATGTTGTGGCTACAGCTGAGTATTACTGACCCTTTATGCTTTATTTACAGCTTCACTGAGCCAACAAAACTGAAAATGCACACCTGGACATTGTATGATTAGGGGGATAATCTCCAACTGGACACTAATAAATAGGAGCAGATGCTTCTGCATGTATACATAATCTGGATCAGAGGCTACTCTATGTACAGGCAAACTAGGCAGCTGCCAAGGGCAGTAGATTTGGTGTGGCCACTCCTCTGTCAGGATGCAGGGGCGACTGGGCCAAATTTGGGTGGCACGGAAGAAGGCACACTGACATTTACCTAGGGTGGAAAATTGTCTTGAACTGCCTCTGATGGGGATCATCAATGTACAGTACATTCAACACAATTACAACATCCATTTTAAAATCTTGCAAAACATTTGTGCCAAAAAGTTTTAAATAGTTGAATAATTAGGCCATGCATATCGGGGGAGGGAGGTGGAGTCACCATCTCCTCCTGTCATACTCCGCTGCCTCTATCACAGCCCCCATGGGGGAGTACCCACAAGTCATGCACAAGAGAGTGATGACTAGTGATCTATGCAATCACAGATAAACTATCCACCCCTACTTTACCCTCCACATTGGGGTACGAAGGGTGCACATGAAGCATAGCTCCCTGCTGTTCAGGCCTAGCTTCCTCCCTGTTTGTTTGTGTAACAGGACAACACTTATCCAAATTATAGACCAATCTCTCCACAGCCACAGTGGTGAGGTCAGATTTTGTCCCTCAAAGAGGCACACAAGGATTTAACCACACAATGCCAATTGACGATATATTATTGAATGTTTGCAACTAAAAGTCCTAATAGAACATCTGGAAGAAGTGAAATGGAAAAAGGAGTGTGGCTTTGAAGAGAGAGACAGAAAGATGACTGAACGCTCTTGAGAGTTTTCCCAATGTTCCACTTGCCTCTGCTCCAATCCAAAACATTTTATGTTTGTTTTTTTCCCTATTTTTGCAGCTTTCCCTTGTTATTTGCAGTTTGCCTCCTTTCCCGTTAGAGTTTCCAATGCTTTTACCTTTCCTTTTTAGTAAATTTTTATATTACTATTCATTTATAACAAAACATGATAGTCATATGGAGAAAAGCTTAATTTACATGTATAGTCACATATTTAAGTCTTTCACTAAAATATAAAGGTTACTCACCTGTAACCAGAGTTGTTTGAGATGGTCTCTGCCTATTTATGCTCATGGGATGTGCCAATTGCGTGCAGTTTAGACAGTGGAATTTAAGCAATGATTGTTGGAACACTCCTCTGCCCTCTTTCTTACTCCCGCCAACGTTTGCAAACATCCTGAGGGCAGTTATAAGAAGGGGCGTAGAGCTCCAACCACCTCAGTTCCTTCCACCACTCAGTCAGGTTCCATTTAGAAATTAGGACTCCAAGGAAGAGGGTAAGGTGGGCAGGGAATGTGAATACGCATAGCAAATCTCACAGTTCCAGTTCCAGGTAAGTAACCTTCATTTCTTCCTCTAGTGAGCGACTTCTGCATATTCTCACTCATGGAATAGTTTAAAAAACCGTAAGCTCGTAAGGAAGGATCTGGAGTCGTAATTAAACAGAGACTGCAGAACTGCTCTGCCAAATCTAGCATTTTATTTGGATACCAAGTCTAGAGAAAGTACGAACAGAACCCAAGGTTGCCGCCTTACATATAGTAATAGCCATGTTTTACAAACTAGTCGGGGATTGAGGAATTTAAAATGGAAAAGTTCATAAAATTGAACATCTCAAAGTTACAGTAAATGTGCATAAGTTGCAGTATAGTGCACTGCATCACTTTGTCTTTCAAATCACAGTGAAACCATTTCCAATACACTGAAGGCATTGGAATGTGAAGCAGTGTTGACTTGTTCTTCATCAACATCACTTTCATATGATTTTTTATCCCTGCTTTGAAAAATAGTTTGTCACTGGTCTTTTGTAAGACTGGCTGGCATTTGTAAAATTAAATCTGTAAGGTATTTCAATGAGTGGGGCATAGATGCTGCTTTGGTTGTAGTGGAATGGGCTCTAATCCCTTAAGGGAGAGAGACTGGTGCTAAATTATAAAACTTGTGGATATATAATTAAACCCATTTAGAAATTATTTGGCCCTTTTTTCTGCCTAAATAAGGGAGAGTACACTAAGATTTTTTAAAATGTACCAAAACTATCTAAAACCTATTGAAGTGTTGGTCTGAAAGGCACTGAAGAGAAGGTTGATGGATTGAGCATTTTCTGAACTGTCAGCTAGATGTGATAGAATGGAACGGAGGGAGCTCAGCTGGAGTGCCACACTCCCTTTTTATAACATAGCTCTCAAAACATTCACAAATGGTGAGTAGAGGGGCACATTAGATATTTTAACTGCTAGTTCCACAGTCTAAACCACACCTGGCCAGCACATCCCATGAGTGGAAATATGGAGAGGCCACTCAAAGTGCTATTAAGTGAATTGAGGCAGTGAATAAACAGCAATTAAGCAAATAAAGACACCATTTCAGAGGGCATTGTAAGAAAGGGAATTCATAATGCACCAGGTCTAACACAAGTAGTTGTTGGGTATTTGATTAGGAGAGTGATAGTTCCCCAACAGCAGCCGAATCAGAGAGGGGGAAGTAACTCCCTGGTTGATTTCCCTCCATCTTCATCAGTGAAAGAAGAGAAGAGCCACACCCAGAAGAAGTGAAAATAAAGAGATATCCTAAGGCGGTTACAAGACAAGCGCTGTAGCAGAACAGTTCTAACGGTTACTCAGATGCAAAAGCCCTTTGCATTTTGCTTCCTGAACAGGCTGAAGGAACTCGCATGCCTTGAGATCTTACTACCAAAAACAAAAAAACTTACACACAAACAGGTTTGGCTGAAAAGTTTGGATTAGATCTGAATTCCTCCAAAATTTGGGGGCATTTAGAGCTGGGAATTTAGTATGGGTCCACCCTTAATGTTACAATATGTCCATATACATGGTTAACAAATAGATAAATTACAAGTTAGTAAGAAATATTTGAGTGGGTCTCTTGCAACTTTAGAGCTACATAAAATGATACTAACAGTTACACTTCTAAATAGCATTCAGGATGACAATGCTGTCCAGGATACACAGAACAAGAATATTTTCCAAGAATCAATAATCCCATATTATCTAATACAGTTTGGAAAAGTGCACTCAATGTTCCAGTATTGTTAATAACCATTTTATATAGGCATATAAAGAAATGACTTGTTTAGATCCCTACTAAAGTGAAATTATGGTTTGGCACAGGCTTTCCCTACTTTCCAAACTAATAAAAATACATTTGCTAATGTAACAAGCAGAATAACTAGCTTTTCAAATAAGGCACAAGATGACATCTAAAATGAATGAGCTAAATGTAATTATAATTTAACCTTGGCTATCAGGTTTGATCCTGACTTCACTAGGGAAAGCAAATGGCCAGATAAAAAATTTCAGCTCACACTGTATTTAGCTGATTCAGCTATTAGACAAAATGCTTTCGCTGTTCATGCACATTTATATTTAGCACCTGTAAGAGGGGCAACCTAGGCTTTATACAACCTATGATGATGAAATTCCAATGATGTGGTAATGCAACTCTAATTAAGGGCTGGTTAAGCTTTCCATTTGAAATCCTGGTTTGAGAGATCTAACGTTTAAAGTTCTATTGTTTTAAAAGATCTGTCTGAAACTTGGCACACACGTTATTAGCCTAGAGGCCTATTGGTTTGTTTAGAGGGAAAAAAAAGGTTTAAATCTTCTGAACTGTTTTTCTGTTATTACACTGGCCAAGACAGTTTTAATAGATTTTATTGTTGTTATTCTGTAGGGAAGCAAATGGCTTGATGAAAAGATTTAAAATGTGGTTATTTCCAAAAGTAAACTAAAGTCCTTCTGTTACAGTGCATAAATCTTTCCAAACAGCCAAGAACATGTACCTTGTGTATTTAGGCCTTCTCTATATGAGCAAAATCTGTACCTGTATTTCAGGAGCTGCCAGCACCAGTGGAGCAGGTTTTCCTGACACTGGTAAAAATGCCTGAGCTCTGTGTCTGTACAGCAATTTCATTTGCACAGCTGCTGAAATACAAGTGCTAGTTTTACTGGTTGAGATGCACCCTTAATGATTTCTAAATATGCACATTTGGGCCTTAAATTCTTAACTGCATTACACTATTATTTTCTGTTCTTCTGAAACACTTTCATTGCTAATAGCTTTGCTGATGCGTTTTTCACGCAAGTACATTTTTAGCATGGCTCATTCTGAGTGATTTAATACTATAAAGCTTTGGAATCTCAACTGTGTAGATTCAGGATTTCATAGGGGATTCAGACTTCATGCCCTTAAGTCCACCTAGTTCCTGGGTTTGTTGTATATGATCCCTATACATCTGTTTGTTTGTTTTTTAACTTTAGAGACTGGGGGCGTAGAGAAGACATTTTTAAGGGCTAAATTGAGTGAAATTTTTGTGAAGTTAAAAACCAAATGACATAACTGTGACATAATGACATAACAAGGTGGGGGAGTAGCACTGTATGTAAGGGAGCAGTATGACTGCTCAGAGCTCCGGTACGAAACTGCAGAAAAACCGGAGTGTCTCTGGATTAAGTTTAGAAGTGTGTGCAACAAGAGTGATGTAGTGGTGGGAGTCTGCTATAGACCACCGGACCAGGGGGATGAGGTAGATGAGGCTTTCTTCCGGCAGCTCATGGAAGCTACTAGATCGCATGCCCTGATTCTCATGGGTGACTTTAATTTTTCTGATATCTGCTGGGAGAGCAATACAGCGGTGCATAGACAATCCAGGAAGTTTTTGGAAAGCGTAGGGGACAATTTCCTGGCGCAAGTGCTAGAGGAGCCAACTAGGGGGGGCGCTTTTCTTGACCTGCTGCTCACAAACCGGGTAGAATTAGTGGGGGAAGCAAAAGTGGATGGGAATCTGGGAGGCAGTGACCATGAGTTGGTTGAGTTCAGGATCCTGACGCAGGGAAGAAAGGTAAGCAGCAGGATACGAACCCTGGACTTCAGGAAAGCAGACTTCGACTCCCTCAGGGAACGGATGGCCAGGATCCCCTGGGGGACTAACTTGAAGGGGAAAGGAGTCCAGGAGAGCTGGCTGTATTTCAAGGAATCCCTGTTGAGGTTACAGGGACAAACCATCCCGATGAGTCGAAAGAATAGTAAATATGGCAGGCGACCAGCTTGGCTTAATGGTGAAATCCTAGCGGATCTTAAACATAAAAAAGAGGCTTACAAGAAGTGGAAGGTTGGACATATGACCAGGGAAGAGTATAAAAATATTGCTCGGGCATGTAGGAATGATATCAGGAGGGCCAAATCGCACCTGGAGCTGCAGCTAGCCAGAGATGTCAAGAGTAACAAGAAGGGTTTCTTCAGGTATGTTGGCAACAAGAAGAAAGCCAAGGAAAGCGTGGGCCCCTTACTGAATGAGGGAGGCAACCTAGTGACAGAGGATGTGGAAAAAGCTAATGTACTCAATGCTTTTTTTGCCTCTGTTTTCACTAACAAGGTCAGCTCCCAGACTGCTGTGCTGGGCATCGCAAAATGGGGAAGAGATGGCCAGTCCTCTGTGGAGATAGAGGTGGTTAGGGACTATTTAGAAAAGCTGGACGTGCACAAGTCCATGGGGCCGGACGAGTTGCATCCGAGAGTGCTGAAGGAATTGGCAGCTGTGATTGCAGAGCCATTGGCCATTATCTTTGAAAACTCGTGGCGAACGGGGGAAGTCCCGGATGACTGGAAAAAGGCTAATGTAGTGCCAATCTTTAAAAAAGGGAAGGAGGAGGATCCTGGGAACTACAGGCCAGTCAGCCTCACCTCAGTCCCCGGAAAAATCATGGAGCAGGTCCTCAAAGAATCAATCCTGAAGCACTTGCATGAGAGGAAAGTGATCAGGAACAGCCAGCATGGATTCACCAAGGGAAGGTCATGCCTGACTAATCTAATCGCCTTTTATGATGAGATTACTGGTTCTGTGGATGAAGGGAAAGCAGTGGATGTATTGTTTCTTGACTTTAGCAAAGCTTTTGACACGGTCTCCCACAGTATTCTTGTCAGCAAGTTAAGGAAGTATGGGCTGGAAGAATGCACTATAAGGTGGGTAGAAAGCTGGCTAGATTGTCGGGCTCAACGGGTAGTTATCAATGGCTCCATGTCTAGTTGGCAGCCGGTATCAAGTGGAGTACCCCAAGGGTCGGTCCTGGGGCCGGCTTTGTTCAATATCTTCATAAATGATCTGGAGGATGGTGTGGATTGCACTCTCAGCAAATTTGCGGATGATACTAAACTGGGAGGAGTGGTAGATACGCTGGAGGGGAGGGATAGGATACAGAAGGACCTAGACAAATTGGAGGATTGGGCCAAAAGAAATCTGATGAGGTTCAATAAGGATAAGTGCAGGGTCCTGCACTTAGGACGGAAGAACCCAATGCACAGCTACAGACTAGGGACCGAATGGCTAGGCAGCAGTTCTGCGGAAAAGGACCTACGGGTGACAGTGGACAAGAAGCTGGATATGAGTCAGCAGTGTGCCCTTGTTGCCAAGAAGGCCAATGGCATTTTGGGATGTATAAGTAGGGGCATAGCGAGCAGATCGAGGGACGTGATCGTTCCCCTCTATTCGACATTGGTGAGGCCTCATCTGGAGTACTGTGTCCAGTTTTGGGCCCCACACTTCAAGAAGGATGTGGATAAATTGGAGAGAGTCCAGCAAAGGGCAACAAAAATGATTAGGGGTCTGGAACACATGAGTTATGAGGAGAGGCTGAGGGAGCTGGGATTGTTTAGCCTGCAGAAGAGAAGAATGAGGGGGGATTTGATAGCTGCTTTCAACTACCTGAAAGGGGGTTCCAAAGAGGATGGCTCTAGACTGTTCTCAATGGTAGCAGATGACAGAACGAGGAGTAATGGTCTCAAGTTGCAGTGGGGGAGGTTTAGATTGGATATTAGGAAAAACTTTTTCACTAAGAGGGTGGTGAAACACTGGAATGCGTTACCTAGGGAGGTGGTAGAATCTCCTTCCTTAGAGGTTTTTAAGGTCAGGCTTGACAAAGCCCTGGCTGGGATGATTTAACTGGGATTTGGTCCTGCTTCGAGCAGGGGGTTGGACTAGATGACCTTCTGGGGTCCCTTCCAACCCTTATATTCTATGATTCTATGAACTTCATGTATTAATTTACAACTTAAAATAAGACAACTTAAATGCACAATTCTGCTTCCACTGAAGCACATGGGAACTTGTCCATGGACCTCAAAAAGAGCAGGATTAGGCCTTGAATTTCCTTCCCCTAACAGTGAATGAAACTACTTGTGGGAGTGAGACAAGCAAGATTTTGTGTAAAGTCTTGACTCAATATTATGCTCACCCTATATTCTAAATTGCCTTATATTTGATGGTTTGAAGAAAAGCCTTGTCAGCAACAGTATATTTTTACTACACTAAAGATAAAACGTTCTCAACAAAAATTGCTAATGAAGCAGTGATTCAGGATCACTTTTAGGTAGAATTTAGATATAAAGATTAAAGACTCTGATTTTAAAAATCCTAGTCACAAAGGACCAGCCAAATTTATCCCTATAATTTAAGGATTTTTTTTAAAAAAAAAAAAAAAACAATCCTTTATTTCCAAAACAAAGTTACCATACAAATTATTTCAAAGCAATAATATTAAAACAAAATTGGAAAAACAAGAGGGTTGGGATTTACAATCAATATAAATATATTTAACTGTGTACATCATGACTGAATTAAAAATGTCTTCTTTGAATGCAATGCTGTGTTAAAACAATTTCACTTATGTTTTATTGCTTGTCAGACGGCAATAGTCTTTCTTCACAATCTTTGTCCCTGAAATAGATATGTATGCTAGTTAAAGTAGTATTTGTAGTCAGAATCTTACTTTCAACTTCCTTGTTTAATTTGCCAGATCAAAATCCATTTGTATTGAGGGTGGTCTTGCAGTAATATCTCTTTATAGTTTCTCTTAAATAAGCTCTCTCTTATGGAACTGATCAGACATTAAAATAAACTAGTTACAGCATGTTTGATAGCCACACAGTCTCTGTCTCACATCCCGCAGCCTGGCCTAGAAACATTAATAGGTGTTGCTTTATAATAGTTTCTACCACAGTAAGAGACAACTTCTCTGGAAATCCATAAATGCCAGCATTTAGATACATAATATAGTACAAAAGGCCCACAGACTAAAATATCTCAATATTTAATAAATAAATATATTATAATGTAGTCTACAGATATCCAACAGTTGCTCAGACTCCACACTGACTTATACAGTACTTTGATAAGAATACAAAAATCTTGTAAATAAGAAAACAGATTAAGCAGAATAATTTGTGAATACTCATATTTATAATCCGATTAAATCCATAACTAATATACATTTAAAAGGAATAATGTCATTAGCAACATTACTGTAACTATGAAAACTGTAAGAATTTTAAAAATCAGATTTTTCTCCAGTTGTGCCATTTGTATTCTGCACTTCACTCAGCTTCAATAGTGAAAGTGAACTAGTCAGTTTCATTTGGTTTATATATCTATTTCACTTTCCATAAGGAAGTGTTGGCTGCTAAGAGTCACTACTAGGAATAGTTATGTTGTGGAAGACTTTAAAGGCACCAAAGTAAAGGCAAACAAAAACTTCACCTCAAAGAGTGTTGTGTTCAAGTCCCCAGTATTGTAGGGGAATTTTTTTAAAAAAATTCTTTATTGAAATGCTAATAAAATATGAATTATGAAATATTTCTGTTGACACAGGGGAAATATCTGCTGTCATTTACGCCAATATAAACTGGGAGCAGTCCCATTAAAGTTAGTGGAATTATTCTGGTGCAACTGAGAGGAGAAATTGGCCTATTATGTTTTGTGAATGTTTTAAACAAAAAGTTAAATTTTGGGCCTTAGTTACTTGACAGTGTATCTTTAATAAAAAAAACAAAATAACTTGGGTGATCTATGAAATGGCTTCACTAAAATGTGATCCACACCCTGGATAAATCTGGGAACTCGCTGCCATAAATAGATACAAATGTTAATGAACCATCCCTATATAAAAAGTCACAATTAAATTAAGAATTACTGTACCACAAACCACATTCTTGATTCTCCTTTGAGTTTGTACTACATGATATTTGTACAGAAGCATTTTCAGACTGCCTCATTTCTTTGTTGATATATTTTAGCATTCCACTAAGTGTCTGGAAGTCATTACTGTCTGATGTCACATCTTCATCTACAGTGTATGTGAGGGGATCGAATGAAGATTCATTCAAACTGTTTGGTGGAGTTTGAAGAAAATCCTTTTGACTCTCTGGAATCATTGAGGGCTGTAACGTAAGCATTTGTTTGAAGTCTTTTAACATGTTTTTTGATAGATCTAGGGAATCATCATCTTTAACACCTAAGTTACTAGCACTTATAGAACGACGCAGTTTTCTGTGTTTGAAGTATGACGTATGAGAATGTTTGAAAGAATCCTGTTCTTGAACATCGAAGAGCGTATGATCTGATAATACAAGCGGGATTGGTAGCTTCTTGATGCCTTCTGTTCTCTCATGCCCAGCAATTCTCGTTTGTAATCTCGTTACTTCAGATTCCTACAGTGCAATAAAACAAATATTTTTCATTTTTTTAAATGCTAATGTTCATTAGAACTATTCTCTGTATTCTGTGCCATGTGTAAATATATTTCCCACTACCTCCTTAATGACTGTGGAATCATCATCATCTTGCCTCTCACTCAATCCTGGACATCATCTTTGACTTGGAGCTCTCTCTAGGTCTTCATGCCCAGGCTAGATCTAAATCTTGCCTATTCTTTCTGCATAGCATCTACATCAGTGGTTCTCAAAGCAGATCTGCCGCATGTTTAGGGAAAGCCCCTGGCTGGCCGGACCGGCTTGTTTACCTGCCGCGTCTGCAGGTTCAGCCAATCGCGGCTCCCACTGGCCGCGGTTCGCCGCTCCAGGCCAATGGGGGCCACGGAAAGCAGCGCGGGCCAAGGGACGTGCTGGCCGCCCTTCCCACAGCCCCCATTGGCCTGGAGCGGCAAACCGCGGCCAGTGGGAGCCGCGATCAGCTGAACCTGCAGACGCGGCAGGTAAACAAGCCGGTCCGGCCAGCCAGGGGCTTTCTCTGAACAAGCGGCAGACCGGCTTTGAGAACCACAGATCTACAGGGCTAAAACTGTCATCCAGGTTCTGACCTCATGTCTCAATTATTGCAATATCCTTTTCTCTGTCCTTGACAACTAGAGTCTTGCCCTGCTCATATCCATTCAGAATGCTGCCGCAAAGATAATTTTCTCAGTCCATCATTAACATCTCCTCTTTGCATCCCCTTCTCTATTACATCAAACACAAGGTACGTGACCTCACTTTCAAGGCCCTTCCTGGCCTATCCCACCCTACCTATCATCTCTCACTCACTATAGAGATGTCAAATCTTGCCTCTGACTGGCAAATGATGCCAGCCATCATCATCCACTGGTCACATTTTCAAACAAGCACCTTCATGCTTTCTCCCATGTTGCCCCTCATGCTTTTAAGGAGCTCCCCTGCAAACACTGACGAAGCTACCTCATTATCTTTCTTCTAATCCAGTGGTTCTCAAGCTTTTGTACTGGTGACCCCTTTCACATAGCAAGCCTCTGAGTGTGACCCCCCCACCTCCCGTTATTAATTAAAACCACTTTTTTATATATTTAACACCATTATAAATGCTGGAGGCAAAGCAGGGTTTGGGGTGGAGACTGACAGCTCATGACCCCCCATGTAATAACCTCACAACCCCCTGCGGGGTCCTGACCCCCAGTTTGAGAACCCCTGTTCTAAGCCCTCCTTAGAGCTCTCCATTGCCCTGATGCCTACAAAAAACAAAACAAAAACTGACAGTGCTTAGGCCACTAATGTGCTGAGACCACTGCCATTCATGCTGACCAATACAGTCTCATTTCCTTGTACTCCTCCAGCCAACAGTCTGTTGCGTCTTGGCATGTACTTAGATTGTAAGCTTTCTGGGGCACGCACTGTCTTTTTATTCTGTGTTTGTACAGCGCATAACACAATTGGTCCTGGTTATAACGTGCACTCTTAGGCACTATCATTATACAAACAAAATGATGATTCACCTGCAAAGTCCCTTAGTACCAACATCAGGGTCAATTTTTATTTGGTGCCAAACAGAAATCAGCAACAATATGATCATAATCATACAAAGGGCAGAGTTATGATATTTCCAACATATACAAATGCCTAGAATACCATGTGGAAGGCAGTCTCACTGTAAGCATCTCTCATTAGAAAACTGCGCTTCCATTTTTCTGGTTTCAAAGACCCGCCCTTTGAAAAAAATCAATTTCCAAAATGAAGGACATTAGAAAACCTGGAGAACAATTGCCATCTTAAATCTACAGAACAAGAGATTCACACTAAGATGGCCCATTTGGGACATGCTATAAAACAGTGGAAAAAAGACTGATTCCCCTCCCCCCCAGTCTGGGTATTAACTGCCACCCACGCTCAGCACTTCCATGAAGGAAGCCCTCAGCTAGCGTTGGAGTGTACAAGAGGAGACAGAAGTAACGTTTGCCATAAAAACAGAAATTTTATTAGAGTTGACAATCCTCAGTGACACCAACAGTTCATCAATAAAATTTCTAAGGGAAAAAGAGGACTACTGGGACAGAAAAACCTCCATATCTATCTAGCACAATGTGAATACTTGTGGAGAGAAAAGTCTGAAAAACTCATAATGCTGCATTTTTAAAGAGATATTATGGGCAGTGAAAATCAGATTAAAAGATGAGTCTCTTGCCAGCAGTCACTGCAAAAATTTTAATAAAGAAAATCAAAATCATAAGTTTGAGGGAGTTGGGAAAATTAAGATGAATATAGAAGTAGAATCTGAAAAGCAGTGAAGCAGTACCTCAAATGTCAATAGACTTGAACAGGGAAGTGAAACGTGGCTCTTCTCCTTTCAAAGTTGTACCTAGTGGAGTGGGCAGTGTACTAGCAATAAGCATTAGCAGTAAAGTACCATCTTCTCTCTCAGGGTTTTACACTGCCATCCACCACTAGAGTATCTGAGTGCCTTCTACACAAACTAGATTTAGCAACAGTTATGTTCTTACTAGGCTTCATGGAGTCTCAGGCTTTCCTCCCTTACTGAGGAATGGGAACTCTGCTTGGGGTAGGTTTTCTATTTCTTTCCTGCGAAGAGGAAAAGCAGATGATTGATGTTGTGAATGTCATTCTGTTTATGGTGGAAAAGCTATATCAAAAAGTAACTGTGGAATTATCTTTGAGAAATCATGGAGGATGGGTGAGGTCCCAGAGGACTAGCGAAGGACAAACAGTACCTATCTTTAAAAAGGGGAACAAAAAGGACCTGTGGAATTATAGACCAGTTAGCCTAACTTTGATACATGGAAAGATACCAAAACAAATTATTAACAAATCAGTTTGTGAGTATCTAGAGGATAATGGGGTTATAAGGACTAGCCAAGCATGGATTTGTCAAGAACAAATCATGCCAAACCAACCTAATTCATTCTTTGACAGGGTTACTGGACTAGTGGATAGGGTGCAAGCAGATAACGTATTATGTCTTGATTGTAGTATTGCTTTTGACACAATCCATATGACATTTTCATCTACAAACTAGGGAAACATGGTAGACAAAATTACTAGGTGGGGGTCAAAATTGATTGAAAGACCATACTTAAAGAGCAGTTATCAATGATTTGCTGACAAACTGGGTGGAGGGTAGGTGGAAGATGGAAGGGTCCTATCTAATAGGATCCTGCAGGAGTCAGTCCTGGGTCCAGTACTATTCAATATTTTCATTAACGTTTTGGGTAACGGAGTAGAGAGCAGGCTTATAAAATTTGCAGATGACACCAAATTGGGAGGGGTTGTTAACACTTTGGAGGACAGGATTAGAATTCAAAACAACTTTAAACAAATTGATTTCAGACCAATTCTCCAACCAGATGAAATTCAATAAAGAGAAATGCAAAAGTACTATGCTTATGAGGGAAAAAAAATGAAATGCACAACTACAAAAAGGGGAATAACTGGCTAGGCAGTAGTACTGCTGAAAAGGATCTGGCAGGGTTACACTGGATCACCAGATTGAATATGAGTCAACAACGTGATGCATTTGCAAAAAATTCTGGGGGTGTATTTACTGGAGTGTTGTATTTTAAGACATGGGAGGTCATTGTCCTGCTCTTCTCAGGACTGGAAAGGCCTCAGCTGAAGTATTGTATCCCATTGGGCAACACACTTCAGGAAAGATGGGCAGAGAGTCCCGGGAAGAAAACAAAAACAGTAAAAGATTTAGAAAAAACTTGACCTAAAAGGAAAAAAGTTAAAAAAGTTTAATCTTGAGAAAAGAAGACTGAGTGGGATCTGATAACAGTCTTCAAATATGTTAAGGGCTATTATAAAGAGGATGGTGATCAATTGTCCTCCATATCCACTGAAAGTAGGACTAAAAGAAATGGGCTTAATCTGCAGAAATGGAGATTTATATTAGATATTAGGAAAAATTTTCTAACTCTAAGGGTAGTTAAGCTCTGGAAAAGAGTTCCAAGGGCTGCTGTGGAATTCCTGTCAAAGAAGGTTTTTAAGAACAGGTTGAACCAACATCTGTCAGGGATGGTCTTGATTTAGTAGGTCCTGCCTCAGCACATGGGGCTGTACTTGGTGATCTCTCAAGATCCCTTCCAACCCTACATTTCTACGATTTCCTAAAGGTAATCAGATTAATCTAACCTCCTCTGAAAATTCATTCTACAGCTGGATCCCTTCAACTGAGAATGGTTTGTCCTGATTTCTTAAGCACTTTATTCTGGGCTTTATGATCTGCATTGTCCTAGAGAAGCAGAACTGTCTACCTGTAAATTAGAACATCTACTGAAGAAACTTTTATCTAACCTAGCACATTAGAAAAAAGAAACCTGTTAAAGAAGTGTTAGACATCACCATACAGAGCTACTCCTGCTAGTTATACACTAGGTGGTAACACTGGAATTTTGACATTCTGACACCTGTTGTATTTTAGCTTTTCCCTTTAAAAAGAGGGGGGCCATCTAGCTGTTTACATCCTGCACCTATATCTGTATGATCTTTTTACATCTAATTAAAATAAATGGGGTTTGTGATGTGACACCAGCCCATAAGGGGTTAATGGAGCCCTTGGGAGGCTGCACAGGAGGCAGCCAATCAGAGAGGGGCTGCGAGGAGCAGCCAATCAGGGCCAGGCTGGCCCATATAAGGAGAACTGTAGAACAGAGCAGCTTCAGTAGCTCAAGGAGGGAGGACTGGCTGCCTTGCAAGAGGAAGAAAGCTAACACCTTGGACGGAGCAGTGATGGTCAGGGTCAGGGGAGCAAGAGTGAATTCCCAGCTGACTGCTAGCATGCTGAGGCCAGAGACAACAGCAGATAAGGTGCCGGGGCTGTGGGGAAGTGACCCAGAGAAGTAGACAGAGTCCTATTTAGAGGGGATGCAGCACGTAGCTGTCATCTACAGGGTCTCTGGGCCAGGACCTGGAGTAGTGGGCTGGCCTGTCTCCACTCACCACTCAGGAAGTGGCTGCACAACGAACTGCCTTTCCCCCAGAAGTGGGGGAGAACCGAGTGCAGCACAGCCAGAGAGCTGTGTCATGAAGAGGATGCTGCGGTCCTGAGAGTCATGTGGGTCCCCGTAGCAGAAGTGACGGCAGCAAGACACCACCAGAAGAGGACACAGAGCTAATTCCCAAGACAGCCAGCAGGAGACGCTGCAGTGGTGAGTCGCACGCTGTCACAGGGTTACATGGACTATTATTATTACAGTATATATTCACAATAGTGTATTTCCTTAAGAATTTTTACATTTGTAAAACACAAAATTGGTCTTTTGTAAAGACATTTTTGCATAAAACAAAATGGCTAAGTTATCAGGTGTATAGATGTATATTAACTCATTGTGGACTGAACGGCTCTGACACAATCCACTCATACAGCATGTGTAATCCTCTGCCGCTCTCAAATCCAGTTCTTCCACATGGCAGAGTAAAACTCAGGCCTATACAGTAACTCTTCTAGGTACTTCTCATTCCTTGTAAAAACAAACATGAGGTAAAACAGGGTAATTAATTTGTTGGCATAAGGGAGCCTTTGTTTTTGTCCACAGACACCTTAAATGTCTCATGTACAACACATTGCTGTGTTAACTTACCTTCACAAGCAGTGCTTCATTTGCAGCTTGAACCATTTCATTTCTGGCCTGAAGTTGTTGCTGAAGATTATTGACAGTGTCCTGAGCCTCTTCTAACTCCTGCTGCAGCTGCTGCAATTGTCCACTTAGATGATGAGAGCCAGATTTCTGGCTGTCTGTGGACATCTGCCACCTTTCCTGATTGGTCTGATGTGCAAGCTTCTAGAAGTTTTAAGAAATAAAGTGAAAAAAATTATACAGATTTTGTTTTATGCCAACTTTCCTAAATACTATTCTTTCTCATTTCACATAATATATGTATAGACTGGAAGGGGTGCAAGTAACAAATTTCAAAACTCATCACCATTAACACATCAGGGGGTTTTGACTAAGAAAAAATGGTTACTAACCTTCCTTAACTGTTGTTGTTCGAAATGTGTTGTACATGTTCATTCCACACTAAGTGTGTGCATGCCCTGAGTAGTCGCCAGAAATTTTTTCCCCCTCAGTGGTACTGGTCAGGGTGGCTTGAGCACCTTCTGCTGATGCGCACTGATAGTGCCAGAATAAAGCGCCCAGCTGACCCCGCGCCGCCTCCGTTCCTTCTTTCCGGAAAACACTAATGTAGAGGGGCAGAAGGGCAGGTCGTGGAATGGGCATGTGGAAGACATCTTGAAAAACAACAGTTACGGAAGTTTAGTAACTTTTTTTCTCTTCGAGTGACTGCACGTGCATTTCACGCCAAGCGTCTCCCAAGCAATTGAATAGGTGAAGGAGTTCATGTATACACACACCCACTGCAGAACAGCTTGGCAAAATTTGGCATCATCTCTGGAATGCTGAGTAATGGCATACTGGGAGGAGAATGTGTACACACCAATAACCCGGTCACTGCTTTACAAGTGTCCTGAACAGGAATCTGCACTATGAATGCTGCGGAGGATGCTTGAGACCTTGTGGAATGAGCAGTCAGAATAGCTGTTGGCGAAACATCTGCCTGATCGTAACAAGTGCAAATACATGAAATAATCCAGGATGAAATTCTCTCTAAAGAGATTGGGATGCCTTTCATCCTGTCAGCCAAAGTTATGAACAGTTGGATAGACTTTTGGAATGGTGTAGTTCTTTTTATGTAGAATGCTAAGGCTTATCTAATGTCCAGCTTCGGGTAGAATCAGTAGGCAGACTGACAGATTGCTAAGAAATTGCAAAAACAGTTTTGGAGGGGAAACTGGGGTGAGGGCAAATACATCTTATCTTTAAAAGAAGACTGTGTACAGAAGTTCTGAAGTGAGGGCACAGAGCTTTGGCTGAAGTGTTGGCCACTAAGAAAACCACTTTTCAGGAGAGGTATAATAAGGAGCACGTTGCCAAAAGGTTCAAATGGCAGTCCCAAAAGCTTCGATGAGACCAAGTTCAGGTCCCAGGGAAGAACTGCTTCTCTTACTTGGGGGTATGACCTTCCTAGGCCTTTGAGGAATCAGACAGACATGTCATTTGGGGAAGAAAAACAAACAAAAAAACCACGAGTTACACACCTGCAGGTGGAAAGCTATTATTCCTGCAAGGTGAGCCTTGATTAAGGAGATTGCTAAACCTTGCTGTTTCAGGTGCAGTAGATACTCAAATATGTCTTGTATGGACGAACATGTGGGTGAGACTCCACACTGGGACACCCAAACAGAGAATAGTTTCCACTTAAAGAGGTAAGTAGCTCTGTTGGAGGGCTTTCTACTACCAAGTAGGACCTGACAAACTTGCTCTGAGCAATCCTGCTCTCCGGGATTTAGCCATGAAGCTTTCAAGCCATTAGATGAAGGGAGTTCAGGTTCAGGTGGAGCAGCTGATCATGGTCCTGGGAAATCAGATCCAGATGCAACGGAAGCGTGATTGGAGTTGCCTCAGAGATCTAGAAGAGTGGAGAACCAGTGTTGACAAGCCCATGTTGGGGCTATTAGAATAACCTGGTCTAGCTTGATCTTTAGCAGCACTCTGTGCACCATAAAGATGTTCCAGCTATGGTAGTAGAAAGGTATCTGTGATAGAACCCAGACTGTGCTCCTTACAGGAACACAACTGGTGACAACTCTTGTTGTACATATTTGCAAATAGGTCTGTCTTAGTCCCCCACTGCTGGAAAATGTCTCGTGCCATATCTGGGCACAGGGACCACATGTAGTGACTGGAAAAGACCTACTGAGGTGATCTGCCAACTCATTTTGCATTCCCGGAAGGTAAGATGCTTCAAGGTTGATTGACTGGGCTATGCAAAAGTCCCATAACTGCATTGCTTCATGATAAGAGGGAGGAACAACCTCCTCCTGGCCAGCTGAGTTAAAACATGGCTGCAGTGTTGTCCATGAGAACAGCCAAGTTTCTGCCCATAATGTGCGGCAGGAAGGCCTGACAGGCCAGGCAAACTGCTTTCAGTTCCCTGATGTTGATGTGGAGAGAAAGTTCCACAAGAAACCAGAGGCCGAGTTTTGAGAGCCTCAGGTGAGCTCCCCACCCTAGCACTGACACATATGAGACCAAGGTCATTAATGGTTGAGGGTGTACAAAGAAAACACTTACACAAAGCGTAAGTGGATCCAACCACCAATTGAGGGAGATGAGGGCCTGCTGAGGTACGTGAGTACAGTGTCCAGATGGTGGTGGTCTGGCCAAGTACATTGAGCCCAGCCACAACTGGAAGTATCTGAGGTGCAGCCTTGTATGTTGTACCAGGTAATGCACGAGGCCTCGTGACCTAAAAGTCTAATACAATTTCGAGCTGTTGTGAATGGATGACCTTTGAGTGCATTATCATCAGGGATCCAACTGAATGGAAATTTCCCTCTGGGAGGTAGATCCTGGTTTGAGAAGGGTCAAACACTGTCCCACTTAACTCTATCCTCTGCATCGGAGTGAAGGCAGACTTTTCTGCATTTATCAGAAGGCATACAGCCTTGAATGTTCATAGAATCATAGGAGATTAGAGTTGAGAGAGACCTCAGGAGGTCATCTAGTCCAACCCCAACTAAATCATCCCAGCCAGGGCTTTCTCAAGACAAGCCTTAAAAACCTCTAAGGATGGAGATTCCACCACCTCCCTAAGTACCCCATTCCAGTGCTTCACCACCCTCCTAATGAAAGTGCTTCCTAATATCCAATCTAGACTGCCCCACTGCAACTTGGGACCATTGCTCCTTGTTGTTATCTGCCACCACTCAGAACAGCCTAGCTCCATCCTCTTTGGAACGCCCTTTCAGGGAGTTGAAGGCTGCTATCAAATCCCCCCTCACTCTTCTTTTCTGCTGACTAAATAAGCCCAGTTCCCTCAGCTTCTCCTCATAAGTCATGTGTCCCAGCCTCCTAATCATTTCCATTGCCCTCCGCTGGACTCCCTCCAAGTTGTCCACATCCTTTCTGTAGTGGGGGGCCCAAAACTGGAAGCAATACTCCAGATGTGGCCTCACCAGTGCCAAATAGAGGGGAATAATCATTTCCCTCAATCTGCTGGCAATACTCTTAATGCAGCCCAATATGCTGTTAGCCTTTTTGGCAACAAGGGCACACTGCTGACTCTCATTCAACTTCTTGTCCACCGTAATCCCCAGGTCCTTTTCTGCAGCCAGTCGGTCCCCAGCCTGTAGCAGTGCATGGGATTCTTCCCTCTTAAGTGCAGGACTCTGCACTTATCCTTGTTGAACCTCATCAGATTTCTTTTGGCCCAATCCTCCAATTTGTCTAGGTCACTCTTGACTCCATCCCTACCCTCCAGCAAATCTACCACTCCCCCTAGCTTAGTGTCATTCGTGAACTTGCTGAGAGTGCAATCCATCCCATCATCCAGATCAGTAATGAAGATGTTGAACAAAACCAGCCCCAGGAGTGACCTCTGGGGCACTCCACTTGATACTGGCTGTCAACTAGACATGGAGCCATTGATCACTACCCATTGAGCCAGATGATCTAGCCAGCTTTCTATCCATTTTATAGTCCATTCATCCAATCCATACTTTTTTTAAACTTGCTGGCAATACTGTGGGAGACCATATCAAAAGCTTTGATAAAGTCAAGGGATACCTCGTCTACCACTTTCCCCATATCCACAGAGCCAGTTATCTCATCATAGAAGGCAATCAGGTTGGTCAGGCATGACTTGCCCTTGGTGAATCTATGTTGACTGTTCCTGATCACCTTCTTCTCCTCCAAGTGCTTCAAAATGGATTCGTAGAGGACCTGCTCCATGATTTTTCCCGGGACTGAAAGTTGACTGGATGAGTTGAATGTTGGACACTACCTGAGCCCTGGACTGGCTCTTAGCTAGCCAATCATCCAGATAAGGGTAGACATGCACCCCTAACCTCCAGAGAAAAGTGGACACTACTGCCGTGCACAGTGCTCAACACCCAATGGTCCGGGGTGATACGGGACCACACACTGAGAAAGTGGAAAAGGCGATTTACAAATAAAGGCGAAAGAGTCTGGCATCACAGGAACTGGTAGAAAGTCCTCGAGCATCCCATCAAAATACCTGCTTAAAACCCCCTGGATGACTGGGGGGGCAGGTAGTGATATTGAGGTAAAAGTGGGGGGTGGCCTATGCCTAAAACCTCTGCTTCTCTCTCTCTCTGCAGATCCTGACAGCCAGCCAGGGCAGAATACCAGATGGCTTTTGAGGTCTGTAGGGCTTCCTTGAAAGGAGCAGGTGTGTATAATCCAAGGGATTTAAGGGTCGCCCTGGAGTCTTTTAGGCCATGCAGTTTTGCATCAATGTGTTCTGAAAAGAGTGAAGCTCCTTCAGAAGATAGGTCCCGTTGGAGTCGAGAGGACTGTAGCCACGAACTCCTGCACACGACCACTGCCAAAGCCAGGGACTTGGCTACAGAGTCAGCCGCATCCAAAGCAGCTTGCAACAAGGTCCTCACCACTGATTTTTTTTCCCCTTGTCCACCCGTGAGAACTGTTGCATAGTCTCTTGTGGGAGCAAGTTCTTGAACTTCTGCATGGAGTCCTACATATTAAAATAATACCTGCCCAGCAGCGCCTGCTAGTTTGCAATTCTGAGTTGGAAACTCCCAGTAGAATAAACTTTCCTACTGAACAAGGAAATTTGAGTGTTTTGATTTTTGGGGTTTCATCCTGATGACCCTGCCTTTCTCTCTCATTGGCAGCAGCTACCAGCAGGGATCCTGGGCGGAGGATGGGGGTACAGGAACTCATAACCCTGGGCAGGAACAAAGTATTTTTGTTCAGCCCTTTTAGACGTGGGGGGAAGGGACATGGGGGTCTGCCACCAAGTCTTAACAGGGTCATCATAATGGCCTCATTGAGAAGCAGAGCTACTTTTGAGGGGTCCACAGTGGCTAAAATGTCAACCAGGCTATGGGAGGACTTTCTCTACCTCCACCTGTATGCCCAGATTTAAGGCCACCCTCTTCAACAACTCTTGGTAAGCCTTATCATCTGGGGGAGGCAACACTACCCCTCCTGAGACTGCCTCATCGGGAAGGAGGCCAGCACCAGCTGTGGAAGCTCTTCTCTTTCTTCCTCAGCAGGATCTGGTTGAGCTGGTTCATGCAGTTCGGCTCTGGGGTCAGTACCGGAGTCCAGACCAGGCTATGTCCAAGAGGACAATAACCCCTTTCTTTTTAGGTCACCCAATAGGCACACCTGGAACAAGCCCTGGAAACTGGGGAAAACCCCAGGGGTTCCAAAAGGACCACTGGACTGGCACAGGTCCCCAGTGACCTCCTGACCATGCACTCGATGGTACTCCTGTGTCTGGATGCACTGAAGGGTGGAAATGCCTGGAGGAGTAGCTAGAGAGAGGCTCCTTGGATGGGAGGAGTAAGACCCAACCTCCAATTCAGTCTCTCTCCAATGTCCATGGTGGTTCCATTCCTACCAGTGCCAAAGACCGGTACCATGGTTTCCCTTTTGACAGTACCGAAGGCATAGTACCAAACAATGACAGGATCCAGTGGATTCCCTCCTGTCCATTACGCACCAATAACACTGAATCTTGTATTGCCGGTAATACCAGTACCAACAGCAAAAGAAATTATCTGGCAGCAGCAAACGCCATGTGATTGGTACCAATATAGTATCAGTACTGTGCTGTGTGCAGATGTTAACAGCTCTTCCAGTCCTGGACTCGACAGTGCCTGCATAGGCGTCAGAGTCAACGGTGCCAACTTTTGCAGTACCAAGACAGAAGAGTAGAGTGCAATCTAAACCAATCTGATCTCCAGGCCTGGCCATCTTCAGTGCCAGGGATCACCCCCTCTCAGCCATCTGGGATGGTGATCGGTGCCAGGACTCCAATACGGTAGGAGGAGCACTCCTTACTGATGGCAAGGCACTTGGTGACAAGTCTGACCGGCCTGGCTCTGACGGAGGTCTCAGTGCTGCCTCCATAAGCAAAAATTTTAGCGTGGTCTCATGGTCCTTCTTTGTGCGAGGCTTAAAGTCCCTCCAGATCCGGCAATGGTTCCCAACATGAGCTTTTCCCAGGCACTTCAGGCAGCTTGAGTAAGGGTTGGGCAGGGGCATAGCCTAGTTGCAGGAGGCGCAGAGCATAAAGCCTGGTCATCAAAGCATGCCTCGGCACAGGGGAATGGAAAAAACTCTTCTAAAACACGAAGTTACGGAACTTCACTAAAATTAGCTAAAACTGACTAAAAACTAACAAACTAGACAGAGAAGAAAAGACAACTGAGAAAGCAAAAGCAAGGATAGCAGTTCTAGCGACCGTCATGGGCAGTAAGAAGAAACTGAGGGGGGCGCAAGGGGTGTCAGCTGGGCGCTTTATACCAGTGCTATCAGTGTGCAGCAGCGGGCACTCAAGCTGCCTCAAAGGGTATCAAATCAGTTTGCAGTATCTGACAGACATGTTAATGGAGGTATTAATTGATTTCTTTTATGGTAGTTGATGTTCTTTCAGACCAAGCAACAGCCATAGAAAGTTTTGAAGGGGATCAGATCCTCTCTAGAATAGCTTTCCCTATATCTGAGAATGTTTCTGTAATGCCATATTTTATCCATCTTGAAACAGTGGAATTAAATTTTTTTTAAAATCGAGACATTTGTGATGAAAGGACACAGAGGATGATTTCCTAAATTGTTTTTTTCACTTCAAGTATATCTTCATTGCTTTCCTCACATCAATCTTGTGCCATGTTTTTTCTTTTTGGTGTTGGGGTTTGGGCAAAAGTGTGGCAATGCAATTTCCTATGTGGTATGAAAGGCTGTACTGCCTCCATATAAGAATGATTTGTGAATATGAAACACAATCTTGTCCTTATGGAATATGTAGCAGGGTTTACATCTTAGTAAGACAGATTTCTGAGACTTGTCTTGTTGATGTGATTCCTACTAAGAAGCAGATTTTATTAGGTACAAATGATAGAGCCTGATGTCTCTAGTTAAAAGGGGTGAGGTGCAAGGGCTTGTAGTCGGGGGGTGAAGTCCAGAAACATAGATCTGACTGATGTTTTGGATAGGTACACTGCCTTTACAAAACTAGACCCCCAGAGATGGTCCACTAGTGATTTGAATAAGCATGTATTTATAACACCTTCAAATCTCAGGACCTGAGACATCACGATGAAGCAATTAAGACAAGTCCAGACTATCATAAAGAAAATCTAAATGAACTGAAATGCCTGGTTTCTTTGAGTTAATTTCTGTTTCTTAACAACTACCAAGAGCACTCTGTCCAGACTTGTGTAGACAGACCAGGTGGATGGGCTGCAGGAGAGGACAACAGGATTTAATCACCTTGGAAGAGTATTCATCCAGGTTAGATTTTTAATACACAGGCTGTCTGGGTCAATTAATCTGGGTTTGGATATCGGAGCAGACCCTGTGATAGGAGATCCTGCTGGCAGGGAAGATGTACTGGGTAAGCCCTATAAAGAGAAAAACAGCCTTCCCTGACAATTAGGAGTGAGGAGTATTATCTGGTTTTTGTACCATGGTTCCCAAAAGAGAGAATAGGAGGAAAGGGAGAGAGGACCTGGTTGGTCTCTTGGACATTTTCTTTGGTTTTTTTGTTTGTTTGTTTCTTTGTTTGTTTTTTCCTCTCTCCTTTTCTCTTCTGTGCTTTGGATTCTTTACTTTTCTTTGGACTTTTGGAGGGATCTTCCTTTCTGGAAACAGTATCCCCTTTTTCTGGTTAAGGCTTTTCAGTAAGGTCTAGTCTAAGTGAGTGTCTAAGTCTTCCCCTTTATCAAAAATATAATTTGAGATATATTGCAAGCAAATGTCTTCATAAGGATTCACTTCTTATTCCCAAAAGTTCTGGAAGTCTGACAGTATATGTTGGATTATTTCACCAATGACTCAATTACTCATTAAAGCATGTGAGAGGGGATCCCTTCAGATTTCCCTTTTAGACCAGGGTTTGCAGGGATATCCTGACTACCTGTGAAGACTTCCTTGGGAACTTAGATAGACCAGCCTGTTGAGTAGTGAGGAGGCTTTTGGAGGCATCTCCAGGGGAGTCTCAGCTCATAGACCAAGAAACAAAGGCCAAAACCTGCATTCCAGACTCAGAACCTCTACCCCGGCTGGGCAAGGATAACCAGATTGGGAGCAGTTGTTGGCAAAATTCCCCATCTGCAGCTCCAGAGAATGTTTATTCTCTAATGGAATACTATTTTAGCTTAGGCTTTTCTTTTGCTTGCTCCACGATGAGGAGGAGGAAGTGGCTAGTCAGCAGTTCCATAAGTGGTACCATTCAGAAAATGCTCCAAGATGGACAGAAAAAGTTGCATTGGTGGGTAGATGATTATTCACTACTGTTCCAAAATAAGCTGTTGAGCACAAGTACCGTGGGAGCGCTAAATTGCTGCTCTATCTGCACTGCTGGATGCAGAACACTGGCAGAACGGACGTGGCCAAGCCAGAGAGTCTTGGGACAAATTTCAACTGCCTTTGATATCTGCATGGAAAGGTGTGCAGTTGGTCTGGACTGAGTGGAGGAGAAAACACATGTAGCACAATACAGTAAAAATGCTAGGGTCAGTTCAGTTTTATCTTTTACCTCCTGCTCATAAGCCTCCTTCAATGAGTCTATTTCTGATGAAAGCTTTTTTATCTCGGCTTGCATTTTTGCTTGTAACTGAGCTTCACGTGCTTGGGCAGCACCCAGTTCTTCTGCCAAACGGTTTGCACGAGCTTCCTATAAGATAGTATATAATAAATGTTAATGGCACTTTGCACTTATATGGCACCTTACATCCAAACATATTCATTAAGACTGAACTTTTTTTTCCCATTTTATGCAGTGACAACGATTAAACATTTACCTCAGTTGTCCACACTGAGTCAGTAGCAGAGCAAGAAACAGAACCAGAAGCCAGTAAGCCACAACCAGTTTCTTTTTAGGTAGTTTCTAAAGCAAATCCAAGCCAATTGAATAGCACCAGAATATATTTATATTCATTTGACTAGGATTTATTTGTAATAAACATGGTACTGGCCATTGTGTCACCATGGCCAGTACCCCCAAATGATTATTAAATCATTAGAAACAAGGTTTTATTTATTATTCAAATCAGTTTCTTTAACACAATTTTTTTTTTAAAGTTAATTTGTACTGTTCATCCAAAGCAGTTCTAATAGATTCAGCTAAAACAGTGTGGCTGTGCAAGTAGGTATTGCCAGAGACTAATGACTGGCACAGGAGTAAATTAAATTAAATGTCACGTTCATTGAAAATATTTCATCATGACCTGTAAGGTTCACTCTCTCTTGGTATTTCTATGGCCATTATCACTGTAGTATCTGAGCACCTCTCAAACACTGATATATTTATCTTCACAACATCCTTGAGGTAGGTAAACATTATACTCATTTTACAAATGGGGGAGAGAGGCAGAGAGATGAAGTTCACAGGCAAGAGTCAGGATCAGAATCCAGACCTCCTGAATCTCAGCACAGTGTCTCAAGCATAAGAGCCTCCTTCGCCTCTTTAATCATTGGGTCTTGCTTTGCAATAAAGTTACAAAACCCCCTACTGTATACCCAAGGCTCAGTTATAGCTTTTAGAATAATCCCTTCCTGAATTGTCCTCAGTGTGAGGCAGAGGCTAAAAGTTATAACTCAGCCTCATGCACATACAGTAAGGGTTTTTTTTAAAAAGTTTCATTGCAAAGCAAGACAGTGATTAAGGAGCAGAAGGATGCTAATGTGTTTAAGTGAAGCACAATCCCTCTGGAGCATGGTGGGAGTGAGGTAGGGGAATATACATGGTGCATGACTACCTCTTAGGAGGATACAGCATGCATGCCCCTCCTTCCCACCCTCTTTGGAGGTGGCTAATACTCTCGGGGCACTAAGAGGGACCAGTATTTTGTTCAGCAGAGCTCAGGAACTGAATCTGAGTTTGACCCCATGCAGGGAGAAGAAGAAGAAAGAAAAAAAAAAGAGGAAGATTGGTTGAAGGCGCCCCTGCAAGAGAGTCACCCTCTATCTACTTCCTAGTAGCTAGTTTCCATATGTAAATATTTCAATTAGTTCCTTTTTGTTTTATGTACCAAAGGGACCTAGATTTTATTAAAAATAAATAAATAAATAAAAATCTCCAAGTCATTAGTATTTTAAAATTAGGGCATTTTGGGTTCACAGACACCCATATTTGAAATCTTATTGAAAGTCTAGGTTTTTGTTTAGTTGTGTTTCAATTCCAATCTGTCTTTTTTCTTAATTTTATAATAAAAATCAGCACAATACTTCATTGTCAATACAAAACTAAATACATGTATCTGTGCTGACAACTCCATACACCAAATAAACTGTATAGTCCACTTTCTAAAATCAACATTGTTCAATGAGTAATTCTACTCCCACTTAAAAGCAAAGCTATTTTGAGTATGTTACATGTTTGGTCACCTTTTCTTGAGACAGATGATTCATTTCTTCCAGTTCTTGTGAGAGTCTGTCCGTTTCTCTTTGAGCCTGAACCAACAGCCGGCGAGTCTCCAAAAGCTCCAAGTGAATGTGCTGCATCTGTTCTCGTTCTAGCCTCAACTGCTGACCTAAATCTAATGCTTCCTTGTACTGGTCTGCAATGCACTTCTCCTGATCTTTCACTGTCTGTAATAGGTAAATAATTTAAATTCTTAAAGAAAACAGATATTGAATTGTTTTTGAAATCAATGCAGCAACCCTTTTTGATTCTATTGATTCTTGGAGATTACAAAAGAAGATAGCAGATCAGACCTGTGGTCTATGGCAAGTCCTATCTATTCCAGTACTAACTCTCCAAAAATGGCCAGTACCAGATCTTCAGAGGAAGGTGCAAGAAACCCTACAGTGAACATTTTATGAAGTAACTTGCCCATAATAGAAGCTTTTTTCTAACGCACATCAATTAGTGCTTGGTTCATACCCTGAAGCACAAAAGTTTATATCCCTTCTAAAATGAATTAGATAGGATACAATATTTGTGTTCTCATTTTCCATATAAATGTCTTCTTTTTTCTGAATCCTCTATAGCTCTTGGTCTCATTGATATCTTGTGGCAATGAGTTCCACAAACTTTTTTCATGCTGCATAACTAGCTATTACATTTTAAAAATTTTTTAATGTTTTGCCTTTTCAATTGCATTTCAATGAAACCCATTTCCCTAGCTAAGTCTGAAGGTTGCTAGTGCCTAAAACAAGCAGCAAGATTGCCTTAAAAGTCCCACATAATGAAAAGTTTGAGTGTGTGCTTTGGAATCCTAGTTTAATTTATGGGATTCATGATTCTGCAGATAAATACCAGGAGAAAAGTATAGAACTCTATTTTTGAAGCTTATACTCAAATAAATTTGTTAGTCTCTAAGTTGCCACAAGTACTCCTTTTCTTTTTGCAGATACAGACTAACACGGGTGCTACTCTGAAACCTGTTTTTGAAGGGAGATTTTGAAGTCTATTTAAGCCCATGGGAGACCCCTCCATTTTGTCTTCAGCTGGCAAAGGAGATAGCCTCTCCACCCCCAAGGATACCTGAAAGAAACTGGAACAAAAGAGAGTAACTACAGGGGGTGTGAGTGATTGCTGGACCCGGACTAGAAGGAGATTAGTCTGTAAAAGGAAGATTACTGGAACTGGTGAGGTTTTGTCTGTATTCAGTTTTATTAGACATAGACTTGTGGGTTTTATTTTATTTTATTTTGCTTGGTAATTCACTTCGTTCTGTTACTACTTAGAAACACTTAAATCCTACTTTCCATATTTAATAAAACTCATTTTTTACTTATAATTAACCCAGAGTATGTATTAATACTTGGGGGAGGGGGGGAAGAGGAGGGGTGGCAAACAGCTGTGCATCTCTCTCTCTGTCACTGTTATAGAGGGTGAACAATTTATTAGTTTACCCTGTATAAGCTTTATACAGGGTAAAACAGATTTATTCAGGGTTTGAGCCCCACTGGGAGTTGGACACCTGGGTGCCAAGGACAGGAACACTTCTGTAAGCTGCTTTCAGTTAAGCCTACAGCTTAAAACCCACAAGTCTATGGTTCAGACCTGGGTCTGGGTTTGCAACAGGCAAGTGGGTCTGGCTCAAACCAGGCAGGGCACTGAAGTCCTATGCTGACTGGGCACAAAAGCAGGGGCAGAAGTAGTCTTGGCACATCAGGTGGCTCCGAGGTGATCCAACCCGTCACAGGAGACTGGGAAGATCTATACACAACTATTTCTAAACAACTGGTTACACCAATACCATAACAATCCAATAATGAAAATACAATAAACTTCAGCCAAGAACTCCAGCAAGTAATTTCAGTAGAAAAAGCATACCTTCTTGAAAGCATTACATTAAATGAGAAGATAATTTTCTTCCGTTGTTGACTTGTTTATTTTACTAAGCAATAATTAGACTGAAGACAAAGAATGTTCAGCTAATAAACTAATAAATCGGAAAAAACACATTTATCCAAGAAAACAACTTACTTTTTCAATATCTGTTATTCTATGTTGTTTTCTTTCAATTTCCTTTTTTAGTTGATTTATTTCTTGATCTCTCTGGAGCAGTTCGAACTCTTTTTCACGAATCTCATCTTTAGAACGCTGTAGCTTGCAATCTAAGCTCTCAATCTAAATACAAAAAACATTTAAAGTCAGAAGAACAGCTTTCCCCCCCGCCCCGCTTACGGTACACCATGAAATCCTGACAAATTCAAAAATTAGAAGTAGTTCAGAAACTACATCTGCCTTTGAGTTTCCTTACCAATTGATGATATTTTACCAACACATTTTCCTATTTTAAAGAATGATTTAAGGTGTATATTTTAGGAAGTAACAAGGCTGGCTTCTCTTAACATAGCACAATTTTTATTTTTTTTTAAATTGGTGAACTCTAAATAATTTCTCTGGTTAAAAAAAAACACACCCAAAAAACAAAGAAACCTCCAAACTATTAATATCATTTTGGTCTTATCCTAGGCCAGCTCTTGCTTGCATCCATTCCCCAATCTCATACTGATACTAGGTTATTCATTCTCCCATGCTAGCCAGATTTTATTTTAAAATCATTAATAAAAATACCTGTTTATTGCGTTCTTTAATTTCTAACTCAGTTTTCTCCAAACTACCTTCTAATCTAATTATTTTTTGTTCCATTTCTCCCCTGTGTTCACGAATAGTCATATCCAACTGGGTAACCTAAATATAAGAAAGAAAGAGAAAAAACAACAACACTGTTTTGAAATAGTATTTAGAAATTTAGAAACATTCTTTTATGGAATATAAAAGAATTCAACACACCTAATGAAACTAATCCCTTTTCGCCCTGAGAATGTGGTCCCAAGTGTAATTAGTGAAACGGATCTAAGAATGGATTAGAGATCTGGCATTTAGAAATCTATTCTTCGAGGCCAAGTAAATAAAGAGAAGGAAAAAACAATTCTAATTCCATAATTTCACACATCTTGTCCATATCTCAACACAGAGAGCACAAGACAGAATGGTTACTCAGCTTTACACTGAGTTATTTGAGTAGATCAGGGTGGCCAGCCTGAGAAGGAGCCAGAATTTACCAATGTACACTGCTAAAGAGCCACAGTAATACGTCACCAGCCCCCCATCATCTCCCTCCTCTCCCAGCACCTTCTGCCCACCAGCAGCCCTGCCAATCAGTGCCCCCTGCACCTCCCGATCAGCTGTTTCGTGGCATGCAGGAGGTGGGGGGGGGGGGGAGGGGAGCAAGATCATAGCAGGCTCAGAGGAGGGGGTGGGAAGGGGTGGAGTGGGGGCAGGGGCCGAGGCCTGTGGCAGAGCCAGGGTTTGAGCAGCGGGCACCCCCCAGCACATTGGAAAGTTGGTGCTTCTAGCTCCAGCTCCAGAGTCTATGCCTATACAAGGAGCTGCTTATTAACTTCTGAAGAGCCGCAGGTTGGCCACCCCTGGAGTAGACTCCAAGAATGAGGATCTATACTGACAATGTGCCTACATAATGCACTAAAGCAAAAAATGGCCCACAGCTCCCATTGGCCAGGAACAGCAAACCATGGCCACTGGGAGCTGCAAGCAGCTGTACCTGCGGACACTCAGCATCTCACAGCCCACCAGGGGCTTACCCTGAACAAGCTGCAAACCAAGTTTGGGAACCCCTGATCTAGTCAAATGTGCTCAGATACTGAGGACAGGGATACCGGTCAATAGATAGCATTTTTAAATGCAGGTCTTCATCCAATTTATCAAATTCTGACAGGAAGTTGCCTGTGTCAAAGTTATTACTATAAATGAAGAAAAGTCTTGGGGATTTACAGAAGGGTTTTGTTCTATTAAAGTAGTAGTTATGGGCCCTCTTAGCACCCAAAGTGTGTCACCTGACCATCCCCTGGTAACAGGCGTAGCTTGAGGAAAGTGACCATTTTAGGAATGAATTTGGGAGGAGTATACAATACCACCTTGTCATAAAAATAAAGGGAAGGGTAAACACCTTTAAATCGCTCCTGGCCAGAGGAAAAACCCTTTCACCTGTAAAGGGTTAAGAAGCTAAGACAACCTTGCTGGCACCTGACCAAAATGACCAATGAGGAGACAAGATACTTTCAAAGTGGGCGGGGGGGGGGGGGAGACGACAAAGGGTTCTCTCTGTCTGTGTTGTCTTTTTGCCTGGATCAGAGCAGGAATGCAGGTCGGAACTCCTGTAAAGGGTTAATAAGCAATCTAGTTAGATATGCGTTAGATTCTGTTTTGTTTAAATGGCTGATAAAATAAGCTGTGCTGAATGGAATGTATATTCCTCTTTTTGTAACTTAAGGTTTTGCCTAGAGGGATTCTCTAGGTTTTGAATCTGATTACCCTGCAAGGTATTTACCATCCTGATTTTACAGAGATGATTCTTTTACTTTTTCTTCAATTAAAATTCTTCTTTTAAAGAACCTGATTGTTTTTTCATTGTTCTAAGATCCAAGGGTTTGGGTCTGTGTTCACCTATGCAAATTGGTGAGGATTTTTTAATTAAGCCTTCCCCAGGAAAGGGGGTGTAGAGCTTGGGGGAATTTTGGGGAGAAAGACATTTCCAGGTGGGCTCTTTCCCTGTTATATTTGTTAGACGCTTAGTGGTAGCAGCAATAAAGTCCAAGGACAAAAGGTAAAATAGTTTGTACCTTGGGGAAGTTTTAACCTAAGCTGGTAAAAATAAGCTTAGGAGGTTTTTCATGCAGGTCCCCACTTCTGTACCCTAAGAGTTCAGAGTGGGGAAGGAACCTTGACACACCTTATTCTCATATCAAGTTGGGTGAGGAAAGTCAACCCATTTAAGCTTGAAGCTCACAGACCATTTTAGCTGATCTAATGGACATGATAAACAGTCTTTGGGGCAGGTGACAGAGAGAAAATTCCTCCAGAGGCTCTAATAGAGTCCATCAGCTTGGTCAGCACTAGGTTGAAGCCTCACAAAGATACACAGAAAAAATTTAGACATACCCTTTACAAATGCCTCAATGGTAGGCAAACAGACATAGAATCACTTGAACTGGAACACAATATGCAGCTAGGATAAATGAACTGTATTGAAAAAGTCCTCATTTCTTGAAACGTACCAAGCGGTCTTAGTGATCATTAGAGCATTAGTAAACGCTGGACTTGTTATACTTTAAATAAACACTCCATAGGATATTCTGGTAATATGCTTAGAAAGATCTAACCTGAGCTGCTCTTTGTTTCAGTTCCCAGTTCCTTTCTTTCAATGCCTGATCCATGTCAAGAAGTTCTTGCTTTTTGTCCTCAATTTCATCCTTACAGTACCTGCAATTTCCATATAAAAACAATGCAGATGTTCTCTCTCCTTTATAAAGCTAGATCTCACCAGCTCCCTTCCCAGATTCCAAAAAAATCAAGTTTTCATAAATCTGATAGATGTTATAGTCTAAAACTCCAAATGTTTTTTCTTTTAAAAATGTTTGTTAATTTAATTTTGATCATACTTAGCATTCTCAAACCCAACTTCCTGGTTGAACAGTTTCTGCCTTGGTGCTGCTCTGATGACATAGCGCATCCCTTCTTCTGACTGTACATCTTGGAGGGGAGAAATCTGAAAGTGGGTGTGATACATGGATACTTGAAAAAGGAGAGAGTGATTCCACCACTGCCTTATCTGGAGCTTCCTTATCTCTTGAGGCCCCTGCTTCTCCCTGTTGCCTGCCCTAATAGTAGCTTCTTCAGGCTTTACTTACCAGCCTCCTTGTCCCCACACTGGTGTCAGGTGCTGTTGCATGCTCCATTCCTGTTTTCATATGGTTTGTATGGGTCAGTGGAGAGGAGATAAGAAAAAGGATGGAGCATGCAACAACAAATGGTCCAATGGGGGGTGGGGGGAGTGGAAAAGCACGTTTACATGGAAAACAATTAGGTAAAGCCTTTACAAGCCACAACTGTGATAGATAAACAGATGGAAAGAGTAGGTACCTCAGGAAATGAAAAGACTCCTTCCCCTCGCCCCTAGTGGCTTTGCCTAAGCACCAGAGATGGAAGATAGAAGTCTGATGTCACTGGGTCCCTCTGTTCTCTCCTCCTGATAGTGGTGGCATGCTGCACCCTGTGGTTTTCTCCCCCATGCCATGGCCTCCTTTAGGACATAAATGACGACAGGGCCATACATGGACAGACAGAGAGTAGTGCTGCTGTAAGTGTCACCTTCTATATCAACAAAGCAACTCCCAGGCAGACCCTTTCTCAACCAGGAATTTTAAATTACAGCTGTCAATTTAAAACTTCATTTATTTTATAGCGTACTCATGGTGTAACACACTTCTTAGCTATAGAAGCATTCAGAGTGCTTGACTGAGCAAACTGAATTAAGTTTTCTTTGAATATACACCATGCCAGCCAAAATTTTGCAACTGGGTTATCTAAAGTTAGGTAACTAATTCTGCATTTAAGCACCTAAAACGTAAGTGGCCTGATTTTCAGAATGCTGGGCACCTACTTCTGTGGATGCTTTGGCTACTTAGCACCTCTGAAAATATGGCCACTTATGTTTTAGGTGCTTAAATGTGGATTTAGGTGTGTAACTTTAAGCACACACATTTGCAAATGTTGGCCTCTGTTCTTTATTACAAGCTTAATTATTTTAAAGTATAGGTAAACTTTGAACTGAGCAAAAAAACCTGAATGCTTTTCACGACTATCTTCAGAATGGAGATTTCCCACTAACTTTTCTATTAAAATTATTTCAGAACTACATTGCAATAAAAAGTGTATACTGAAAGTTTCATTAATTTGCTACAGTAAAGGTTAAACAGTTGTATTGTACAAGACCGTCATTGTTTTTACTGTCATTTAACAGCTTTGGACTTGGGCAAAATATTAACTTTTTTTTATTATTGTTATTTTTAAGGCATTCCCAAAAAATACTTTAATCTTAGTATTTTCATTTTTAGAAACTAAAAATAAACTGAAGAGCTACTTCAATGAGTTATCCAAGGACCATGAATTTTATATATATAAAATTTTATATACAATTTATATATATATAAAATTCATGGTCCTTGGATATATATATCCATCCATCAGATTATAGGGGACTGCTAAAAGATGGGAAGCACCATCAAAACCAAGAGGCATGCTTCACTGTTCCTAAAACAAAACAAAAAAAATCACTGGGATTAAGTCTTCAAGACCTGAATAGGAGTTAGCTCACCTAAGTTCGTCTGTTAGATCCTTGATAGCAGCATACTTCTCCTCCAGAGAGAATTGTGCATTCTGTAGCACATCTCGCAGTTCCTGTAATTGTCTCAAAGTGATTTTTAATTCTCCATGGGCATTTTGTAGTTCAGCCTCTAGCTCGTCTATTCTGTGTAAAGCATCCTTTTGCTCAGTCTCACTCTGAAGCAGTTTATCTTCCAGATCACTCACTGTTATGTGAATAGAAATTGAAAAGAAAGGGTACTCACCAGTAACTGGTTCTTTAAGTGTCACCTCTACATGTTAATACTTGCAGTATGCACCCACCCCCAACGTCACTGAGCTTTGAGGACATTCTAGAAAAGCGGAGTCCCATTCAAGACTGCATGACCAATCCCTCTGTGATGCTATGAAGGTTGTGCACTCCCCAACCTCCTCACTTCTTTTTGCTAACTTGGTCTTTAAGAGAGTTGAATTCTGAGGAAGAAGTGAAAGTAGGTGAATAGTGGGGAAATGAAGAGGCAACACTCAAAGAAAGAATGGTTATTCTACAGACAGAGATATTGGGTTATCATGATATATATATCCAGATAGTAAGATATATATCCAGATAGTAAGTGTGAATCCCACTGTCAGTGCACGTCTTGTGTGCAAATACGGAATGTTTTCAATAGTAACGTTCTGGGGCTTTGGGGGCCACGTGTGCCCTGTGGCTCCTCGTGCTCCTGTAAAAGAGCATAAAAGGTTTCCTGATGTCAAGGAGGGAAAAGATTTCAAGTCCTCCTTGAGGAACGGGTGCATTTTCTGCTCTGAGCTGCGTTTACACTTGAAGCAGGTATGTCTTTTGGCATCCAAACTGGATGGCATAAGGTTTCTCTGTCCTGGGGTCGGTGCTAGCACTGAGGTCATTGGTGCTGATGAGGTTGGCAGAGAGAATGCCTACACCAGTGCCAATGACATTGGCATTTTTTAGGCCTCTTCTCCCTGGCAGAACCAGAGATATGGTGCCTTGTTACCCAGTTACCAGGACAGTTATTAAAGATAGCCTCCTTGACTCCAGCTTGGAGGCTCTCTCTTCTCTGGGATCAGATGCTATCTTCAGAGGAATGCTCCAAGAATATCGATTGGGGATATGTCCTTCCCTGAGGCAGGAGAGAGATCTGTTGTGCCCATCAATTAAAGGCATAAGACCATCACACAAAGGACAGGGTATAAACCCTGTGGGCTTAGAGTCTGCCATTACTAACTAAGCACTTTGCTCCACTGTTCAAGGAAATATGTGAGGGTCTCCCCTCCATCTCTCTCTTCTTTTTGGGGTGGAGGGGAGAACAGATTCTCCAATTAAAATGAGAAAATTTTTAATAGGGTGAAGAGGACTTCTTCAGAAAAAGATTGCATATGAAACAGAAGAGCAGACTCAATGTTCCATCTTGATGCCACAGGCAGGGATATGCGGGGCAGCTTTGCCTTTTTGAATTGACAAGACCGCCAACAGCTGATGTAAGGAACACAGCATCTACACAGATTCTGTGTTACCCTAACTACACCAACATAAGCCCGATGCCTCTTGTGGAGGTGGAGTTATTATGTTGGTGTAGTAGGGCACTTACATCGGTGGGAGCAAGGCTGTAGTGTAGATACTGACATAATTAGGTTGACATAAGCTGCCTTACATCAACCTAACTGTGTAGTGTAGATCAGGCCTGAGGGAGGGTCACAGCTGCACTGCCCTTTATGCCCTGGCATGAGAAGAAATAAGATGCATGAATGGCCATGGTGGACATTCTATTCAAAAGATTCTGAGCTTGTGTACATTAGGGGCATATGCCCCTATAGTGGGACCCATATTAACTGGTTCTTCTTTTGAATGTCACTGCAAGAAATCTACCTTTCTTTGAGTTGGCCTCTGCATATTCCTAAATGTGGGAGTTTAGTAAGGCAGGCTCAGAAGTTCTAATTAAGCAGGAGCTCCAGAATTACCCTCCCAAAGTATGTATCTGATCTAAATACCAGGCTGCTGAGTATGCAGTGCTGCATAGATGTGTCAACAAAATTTCCTGCAGATTTCTATGATGACAATATTACAGAAGCAGGCTATTAAGATTCACTCTGATAAGGTGGTATTATGTCCTCTAGCCCAACACATCTTGGTACATAATCTAATCCATTTTGACAGGTACTAAGTGGAAATGGCATTCCCTTCACACTGATCCTCAATGGCTACAAACAGTTTAGGTGCCTTCCTGAATGTCTTAGTTAACCCTATCAATGTTGTATAGAAGCCTAAAGATGAGACTTTGCATTGGTAGTGATTTTCTCCCACACAAAAAATACACACACTTTATGAACTCCACTCTGTTTTGTGAATGCCATTTATGAGTGTAACCTTCACTGTGGACTAAAGCATCCATTTTGTAGCTGAGATTGGATACCTAGTGGACAGACGATGGCTGAGAAGCTGTGGCAGAGCGGTCAAGTGCCACTGACATTGAACGGCTCTTTCCTAATGGAAAAATGGGTTTTCTACCAACAGGACCATTGATTTAGACTCTCTCTTTACACAAAAGCTGATGAGGGTGGGAGCTGGAGTCTCCCCATCCCAAGCTTGCAGTACATGAGCACTCAAGGGACACAGTCAGTTTTAAGAAGTTATCATTCTCTAAGGAAATCCAGAAGCAAGACAGCCAAGCCAAGAAGGCCAGAAGGGCTGCCTGGCCTAAGGACTCAGACCACACCCAGGACTTACAGGGGTGGTGAAATCAACTGAGAGGGATTGCGTTTAAGTGTTTCTTGTTTTTCATCTATCTATCTATAGCCCTCTTGTCCTTTTTTAAGAGCAAAGTGTTTGTTGATAAAAATTATATTGTTTAGTCTGTGTGCCTTGCTTTACTACCATGTTGTCCCTGAAGGGTGTAACTAGGAAACTAGAGGTCCCACAGGCAACTGAACTCTAGGGGAGAATATGTCTAAGCAAATGGGGGCTCAGGAGGGCTGCAGCATTGGTTACAGGGTCTAGCCAGAGTGCAGGGTACCACTGCCCAAGAAGCATGTCAGTCATGGGTATGCACCTGGGACTGCCCTTGAGATCCAGAACTACAAGCAGTGATCAGTCATTACTCAGATGAAGGGGCATAGAAGCACGTGGGATTCAGCAGTTGAATACAATTATAAGAAACTGGTGTCCATCCAGAGAATGAGATTGGACCGAGATTGTGACAAGAGACCTGAGCCAGTCTTACAGGGATACGGTAGGAATTTGAACTTTCTGATGTAGTTGTTCATCATTTTCATGTCCATGATGGAATTTCTTTATTGGAATGAGAAAGAATTTGAAGCTGATATTAGGCCATGATAGCCTGATAATTGGCGACACTGATTCTCAGTGTACCTGAGGCTCCATGGGGGAAAGGCACACCTCACAAATGGGAATATATAGAGGCCACCTAAAATGAAGAAGCCCATATAACTACCCAGATCTTTTCAAATTGCAAGATTATGAAAAGTCAAAATAGTCATATGTAGAGAGTCCTTCGCAACTAACTGCAAAATAAATGGAGGGGGAGAGAATCTACATAAAGCATAAGAAAATGAGCCTTAAAGATTTTTTTTTTTTATACACATAGTAAATTATTTACCTTGTTGTGTTTTTTTATTTAGTTCTGACTGAGTCTGCTCCAAAGTCATTTCTAAGTGATTTAACCGCACTGTTTTAGTTTCACCATCTCGTCTTAAATGCACTAGTTCTTTCTCCATACCAATTAGCTCATCCTTGCACTGATCCATCTCCAGCTTAATCTGCCTGAACAAAACACAAAAGGAAAACAGAATGAACAAATCACAATTGGAATAATAAAGACAACACTTTCCCTCACCTCTTTGTGCCCCTCCAGGTCCTTGCTCTACCCCAGAGACTCCTGCAGGAGTCTTCTTGCTCCCTGCAGTTCTCACTCACTAGGCCATAAGCCTAGGAGTCACCTAATAGCTGGGCTCTTTCCCCTGCTCCTCCTACAGGAGCCAACCTGCAGTTCACCAGCTCAACTGAGCTCTGGCTGCCTTTATAAGGCGCAGATGCTCTTCAGACTATCACCTGACCCGTTACCCCAAAGCCTCAGTTGGAAGGTAGCTGATTACCCAGAGGTGAAGCTGAGCCCATCTTCCCTAGAAAGGGCCAGTTATCCTGGACAGATTGCTATCTTCATACCTGAATCAATGCTTTGTGTATGCAATGAACACAAGCAGAGAAATTTACATAAAGGCTGCATCTAATCAACTCTCTACGAGTTGGATACCATTTCAACAGTACTATGTTAAGCAAATCAATTTAACATACTGTATTATTTTAATTATTAATTATTATAATAAATAAATAATTTTATTATTATTTAGTTCAGGTAACAGTTCTGTATAGTTTTCCCCAAAGAAAATGAATGAGTTCATTTTATTATTTCATCCTTTTACTTGTATTTGTAAATTGAGCACATTGGTATGGAATTAAAAAAAAAACAGTAAGTGGGGAACCTACTGATGCCTTTTCACAGACATTATTCAGAAAAACGCCACATTTTAAGGGACACGAATATTAATTTTTGTAAACTATTTTTTTGGATAGAGCACTTTTTAAGCTGTACAAATGGAAAGAAATAGATTAAAAATCCTTAAATTATTTAGAAGGCTTTTCTGCTTCTCTGATGTTGACAAGAGTATTTTCGGCATGGAGAGTGGTCAACCCCCAGAGCAAAACCATCCACCATTTATTTTTTAAACCAACTCCAGTCCCAACTTCATGAAAGCACTTAGGAACATGCTTAACTTTAGACATGAAACTGAAATTAGTGTGTTTATGCACTCTTCCTGAATAAGGATGCTTTCCTGAATAGAGGCATATAGAAGGACTAAGCCTGGATATCTGTTTGTAAATTAACAAAAAATAGAAGTGTCCTTAAGCTAGAAATAAAGGCCTGAATTCAATAAGGTATATGGGATTATTAACATGTTTACAAATAGGCACATACTCAAGTACCTTGCAGAATCAGGACCAAAGTATTCTAAAGCTACATATACCTGTAAAACAAACATACTCATTTCAAGAAAAGCATCACATTTTGGAATACAATTTTTTAGTAGTTTTACAATATTGGATCTTCAGAATACACCAAAATGGGGAAAAAAATTTTTTTAAATGTTCTACACATACCCAATTGTGCTAGTAAGTTCAACCACCTTCTGTCTTTTTAAATCTACTTCCTGAGAGGCTATAAGGAGCTTCCCTTCTGCCTTTCTCAGCTCTTCTTCTGAGTTTTCTTTCTGTTTTTGAAGCTCTTGCTCCAGTTTTGATACCTATTTAAAGTTGTATTTAATAGGGTATTTAATATCTATACTGTTAAAATATATATGAATAAAAACATCCCTCTTGAAAAAAATCACATATGAAGGGTTAAAAATATTTCATTTCTTTGGTTAGATCCTAAAATTGCACATTAAAATCAAATACAAATCTGCAAAGATACTTTTAGAGAATAAATTATTTCTTATCAGTTTAATAAGTGCTACAAAAGTAACTAGACCCAAAATTTCTTATTATGATGTATTGGTTTTTAATTATACACCTGCAGCCTGATTTTCAAAGTACTGAGCATCCACAACTCCACCTGAAATTAAGTGGCATCTCAGACACTCAGAACCTCTTATTCACTCAGGCTACTATAAGAATTATGTCAATTACATCTGATAATTAAAAGATTATAAACAAAGTAAGCTATCAAATAGACAGATATTGCAATGCCATATAAATACATTTAAATATTTATGCTTACCTATTTAATTCTTCTCATTATGAATGTACTTTACCTGTTTTTCAAGCTTAATTTGGCTATCCTCTAGCTCTCCATTTCTAATGGTCTCCTGCTGTAACATTTGCTGCTGCTGCTGCAGAGTTTGCTGTAGGAGGACATTTTGTTCAGTGGTGTCCTGAAGATTATGATTTCTTAGTTTTATTTCTTTTTGTAACCGGTGCACCTGAAAAATACATTAATTTTCTTTAGAATGAAACAAAGATATTTATGCCTTATCTTGCTTCCATTTAAGTCGGTCATCCTATTGTTCTTCATGAGAGGATGATCAGACCCATAATGCAAAAACAAACATACAAAAAAAGGCTCTCAACTCTACTATGAGGAATAACAGGGAGACACTAGCACTGGCCGGCAAGGAGCTGAGACTGGTATCTGTTGCTTGGAGCATGGGCAGATGTGTGGGATCAGGGTGGGGGAACAGATCAGATCCTTCACACTCTGATCCCTGCACTCCAATCCCTCCACCAGGACATGGCCCTCTCACACACCTGCTTGCGTGCCAAGCAGTGGATCCTGCTCTCAGCTCCTCACCAGCCAGCCCTACAGTGTTTCCCCTGGACCTGCTGGGGACTATTGGGCTGGGGAGGGTGCGGGGAAAGGGAATCCAAGACTCCTAATAACTGCACTTTGTCCGTCCTGCCCCTTTCTCCCCACCTGCTAGTCACGAAGCAGCAGCAGTCTGGATGAGAGCTGAGTGCAGCGTGAGCTAGGTTTAAAATCCCTGTCCTGGGCCACACTGGGCCAGATGTCTGGCGCCATCTGATGAGACACCCCCAATACCCTCTGGCTTGCCACCCCTCCTACTCGGAACGATAGGCCCCGCTGCCTCCCAGCCTGGCAACCCTCCACAAGCAGCTGCAGCCTTAGCAGGGAAGTGGAAGCTGAGATTGCCACTTCTTCCTCTTTGCTGCTGGGAAAAAAAATGCAGCAATTTTCAGGGATAGGAGGAGGCTTGGCAGCTGTACACATCCCATGAAATTCAAAACATTTATCCGTGACACTGCTGTTAAATTAAAAAAAAAAAGTGATTTACACAAAGTCTTATCTATAGGTTATCTTTCCTATATAAAAAGAGGTAATGTAAAATTAACAGTCGATCACTCTTCCTCAGCTTCCTATCCTCTCTTGGCTTTGCAATTTTGTGGTGGTTCCTGGTTCTCTTTCTATCCTACTCCTTCAGTGGTTCATTCTCCCCTCCACATTCTGTCCTGGTTCCTCTCCTCTTCTCTATTTTTGTAACCTCCATCTGTTCCCCTCTCCTCCAATTACTACCAATACGCAAATGAGCCAAGATTTTCAACGATTAGTGACTTTCGGTACCTAACTTGAGACACATTGAAGGAGCCTAATTTTCAGGAGGTAGATGCTCAACATTTTCTGAAAAGTCATGCCTCTTTAAAGCATCTCAAGTTGCACACCCAAAAATGGAGGCACCCATTATCATCAGTCACTTATGAATATCTTGGCCATGATTACCAATCTTTACCTTTAACCTTGCCCGACTATCCAGTCTCCCCATCTCTAAATACCAGTTATAGATTTTAAGGGCAGAAGGGATGAGTAGATCATCTGGTCTGACATCCTGTGTATCACAAGCCATAAGATGTCATCCAGTTATTCTTGTACTCAGCCAAATAACTTGTTTTTAGCTAAAGCGTATCTTCCAGAAAGGCATCCAAGAGATGGGGAAATCCATCACTTTTCTTGGCAGTTTGATCAAATAATTAATCACTCACTGGTAATATTTTATGCTTTATTTCTAATTTGAATATGTCTGGCTTTAATTTCCAATGACTGGTTCTTGTTATGCTTTTCACCACAAAATTCAAGGGCCATTTAGTACCTGTCCCCCCTCGCCCCCCAAATGAAGGTACTCCTATACTATAATCAAGTCACCTTACTAACTTCTTTTTGATTAGATAAACATTCACACAACTACTATAACCCTCTCAATCTCAGTCATTCCATAACTGAATGTATCTTTCCTCCTGATCCGGCTTCTCTGGCTCTTTTAACAACTCCCTTATATTGGATACTACTACTTTTCACCTACCACACCCACTCTCATTTGCTTCTCCCTCTTGGTCACAAAAATTTGCCCCCTTTTCACAATCCCTACTGCTAAAATTTTGTTCACCTCTCTCCTTGCCTACTATATCCTTCTTTTAGACACAAATTCTAATATTTCATAATAATATTTCATATTTCTCTGTAACAGAGAAAAACTAAATTGACAAAACAAATTCAAGTTTACCTCTTCAGACTTCTTCTTTAACTGCTTTTCAAATGACTCCTTATTTTCTTCTAATTGACTCAGATACAATCTAAGTTCTTCCTTACAAATGCCTAGTGCTGACTCTAGTTGTCTGACCTAGTTAGGTGCAAGAGACCATTTAAAATAAGCAATGACTAGTTGTTCAGAATTGATCAAAGTCTAAAATAATTCATTAAAACCGGTTTGTTAATTCAGCCATTTTGAGTGATATAACTACAAAGATGGATATAAAACAAAAACAAAACAAAAAAAACAAATTTCTCTGAAATTTACTAACATTTAAATAATGAAAAATATTCATATAAAACCTTATGAAATTTATGTTTTTGTTTAAATCATGCAAAATCATCAATTATGCAAAGACATTACAATACCTGTCAACAGTTACAGCTTAAAGGACTCTATAGATAGATATATATATTCACAATTCTGAGTCAGCTATCCACTTGTGCATCATTTACAGAGAAAGTGATAAAAAGGCTATAAAATGCCAGCTTTATGTATGGGATTACCTTCATAAGGTTGAGAATGATACATTCTGAGTAAATTATGACAAGTCAACATTCAAAAAAGTAGATTAATATCTAAAACCAAAACATTTTATTGTGCTATTACAAAATAGCAGATCCACTTATTTTCTTCATTGAGACTGCAGTTCCTGAGTTTCATCAGGAGGGAAAGGACAAGGTAAACATAAAACAGCATAGCATGACGATGACAACAACAATTTAACAAAATGTATCTTACATTTATACTACTACTAATTTGGACTTCCACCCTGAAATCACAAACTTAGACAGATATACAATTTATATACAACAATAACTAGGGACCTCTCCCCCAACTGAAGCGCAACTATCTCTCGGGTGAAATGCAGCAATTGGAACATTAAACAGCTGTGGGTAGGAAGCGACGATTTCTATATCAAATTGCAACAGACGTGGAAAATTTAGATAGGCAGTCTGCAGTTTTCCACACTAGAATTTTACTAGACCATAAGGTTAACACACACATACTATTTTTTCCCCTCCCTTAAAAAAAAAATTCAAGTTCTCTCTGATTAGAAGTAGTCAGGGACTTTCATTTTATATTTCACCTGACAAACATCACTGGTAGCAGTACCCTATAACAGATCACTGGTTCAGTACAAACTCAGATGGAAGCAAGCCACCTACTGAATCACCAACGCCACTCCTTACAGCTCCTGGATGATATTGGTTGGCTTCTCATCCCAACCAATATTAGGTTATGAATTCAGATGGTATCATAGCACAAGATGGTATTGCTTGGTAAAACTACTGTTGCCAGTACTGCATTGAAGAGGCTTGCCAGACGGACACCAATAGGAGGAGTAGACACGCTAAAGAGGTTGAAGAAGTCAGTTTACTTTTACAGTTACTATTGAGCCTAAAATAAATACTGCATCTTTAGTGAAACCTGGGGGAGGGGAGTGACGGGACACTTATTCATCACTCTTTTGTCTTTACAGACTCCCCAAACTATCTCCAAATGTTGTGATTCCAATTCTGCTCTACTTGTACTACGAGAGCAGCTTAGCAAGGCAAATGATCTTTGTTGGTACATACAGCAGTCACTTAAAGCAGGTTTCACTATAATTTTTCTCTTTCGTTCATTCTTTCTTAAATGAAGGATGAGAGAAGGACTGGAAGGTAATGACACCTTTTGGAATATTTACATGAGCTCTATAAGTAACTTGGAGGTGTCTCATCCAGAGGGAATGGAAAAGAGCTACATAAATATTGCAATTCAAAAAAGAAAAAAGGTATTAAATCAAAAACAACAAAAATCATACTTACTTTGATTGTTTCTTCTGTTAATTGGCTTTGCAACATTTTCAAAGCTTCTTCTTTCTTGATATTTTGCTTTTCCATTTCCTGTTTGCATAGATTTACCAAGAGAGACAAGATGTGAATATAACTGCATATATAAAAGTTATACTACTGGAAACCAGTATACTGGAAAATGGAAAAAAGATTTGGTTAGTGACAAAAATGTTTATCTTTATATTGTATTAGCATGCACTTTACTTCTAAGTGAATTTGGCCCTGATTCTGTCATGTTGTGGTCCCTTTACACTTCTCCAGTGGCAGAAAGGGGGGATAAAGAGTAGGCTGCTCCTGCAGAATATTCTTAGTATAGGTAAGGCCCTACTTGAATTGCAGGATGATTGTCAAAAAAAAAAATTGCAGCCGAGTTGCAGACAAGCCCATTATTATTTATTATTTGCAGTAATAAAGCCCATTATTACTTTTCTGCAATTTTCCAGTTGGCTGAGAGTGGGCACTCCCGCTGTTGGCCACCTAGGTCTGAGAGCAGGGGTCTGGGGCTGACAGCGGCCACCTTGGGCTGACAGCAAGGGCTCCTGCTCTCAGCTCTGGGGTGGCCAGGGCTCCCACTGTCAAAAGTGCAGTGGAAGCCTAATATTGTAGAATCCGCAATATCACAAGGTACATAGGGTCTTAATTATAGGCTAGTTCTTCACCTGACACACAGCTGATGTAAGGCTCTATGCTGGCCTCCTTCCCTGTCCCTAGTGGACGTGGCATATTGAGATGCAACCCAGGATGCGGCCAGAGTGCTATTCTATGCTGGAATAACGAGCCATGGAGGGTCATTGAAGTCAGAGCAATTTAGAGGAGCTCTGGGACTGGTCTAGGTTGCAGCAGGTACAGAGGCCAGAATTAGGGAGCAGGCAAAGATGGCTTCAAATTAAAACAAAAAATCACCTTTGTCTAACCCCACCTTTCCTGTACCCAGCAAAATTAAAAGAGTAAGATAGAACCTGGCCCTTCATCTCTGAAAATTAGTCAATCAACATTTAGTTTGCTTTTAGAGAGAATTAATACTCAATATTACCTCTTTGCTTTCTATCAGCAGCCGATCCAATGATTCAAGGTGACGCTGTTTACATACAATATCTTCTTGTAAAACAAACATGGTCTTCTCTAGCTCATTAATTTGCTGGTGTTTCATGGCCAGCTTAGTCTGAAGCTATACACAAAAAAAACCCCATTATTTATTGTTTTCATGTAGTTTCTTATACAAGCCTCTTGAGATTTAAAAACATCTGCACCTATGGGTCCATTTACCACCAAAATGCAGTCTCCCCTAGAGTGAACACAAAAATGATCATACTGATGCCATCAGAAACAGTGTACAACCTAGGAACAGGTATAAAAATTACATTACTGATTAAAGCAACAGGAGAACATAGGCAGAATATAGTTACTTTGCATGCTGAAATTGGTCAGGACAACAAGACATACAACTCTACTTTTGCAAAATATGACATGAAATCTTCCATGACTGCAAGCAGTAAGGGTTTCAGTTTCAAAAAATGTCATCTGAAAGTTATTAAATGTTTCTAAAAAAACTGGAGGAACGTTATCAAAGATCACCCTGACCCCCAGGACCCGTGATGGGGAGAGTCTCAGTGGAAAAGAAAATACTGCCTGGGGCTGTATTATTTTTGCTGGGGATTCTCCTCATGGCTAGAGGAGAGATGCTCAAGTCAGTCTCCACCTTCTCCCCACCTTAAGGACCCTGGAGAGAGATCTTCCTGGGGTCCAGGGAAATGGGGTGATGGTGTTATAGAGGTGTCTTACTTTCACTTCTATATGGCAAAGAAGAGAGTCACAAGTCTCCAGTGGACAGTCTTTATAATGCTGAATGCTAAAGAGAGGAGATACCATGAACTTTTTAACCCCAGAATTACTGAGGAATGAAGATATGGAAATTAAATTTACATAGAAAACAGAGATATATAAGACACACACATTAGTGCACAATCTCTTACTATTTCAATCTGTTTCTCCATCTCTTTGTGCTGTTCAAGATGAATTAACTTTGCTTTTTCAAAGGCTATAGTTACTTGCTCATGTTCTTCATTGATATTTGTTTCCAAGTTGCGAATCTGGCCATTCTTTTCCTAGAAATATTTTTTAAAATCCTTAATAGGAATATATAGATCTTTTGATATCAGATAATGAGTTTTTTGTGTAAGCAGTAAGGAAGTTTGAAAGCCTCAGACTCATAAGAACAACAGATAAAACTGAAAATTAATATTGTTTTATATTTATATAGCATCTTTCACCCTATAAAATCTCAAAGCAGTGTACAAAAGTATAGTGTATACATGGAGCACCACTGAAATGCATCCATCTCAGACATGGAGGGCAGCTGCCAGATGGACAGCTGGCACAGATGACAGCACACAGTAGTGAGTGAAGGAAAATGTTGGCCAAGGACACCAAGGCAAACCCCTACTCTTACAGGAAATATCATGAGGCCATGAAAGGAAAATAAAGTAATTTTACTGCAGGGAATATTAAATATGAAGGAAGTTAAGAGAGCAATCTTAAGAGAGAGTATAAAAACTAAAATATTTTAATACTTTGTACTGTAATTCCTTTTCAATTTAACAATGCAGGAAAGATTTGGATTTTGAATCATTAAATATTTCTAACTGACAAATATTTTCCTATACTGCAAAAAACTGTAGAAAAAAAGACAATTAAAAAACTGCTTCTTGGATTTAAAAAAAAACATATGAGTAAAATCCTGGCCCTACTGAAGTAATTGGCAAAACCATCATGGACTTCAATGGGTTCAGGATTTCATTCCACATGTAATATAAAGAAAACTATTTATATCCATTTAAGAATTTTCATGGGTGTTTAAGGGTAAAAAATGCCAGGATAGTCTATTTAAAGCAAGATTATTTGCGTTATTAAAATTGTGTGATATGTACTAAGAGATCTTGCACTCTATCTGGTTTGTACATGTATAATGCCAGCACAATAACTAAAAATATATAGTAACACACCAAATGTGTGTGATTTTACACAATTATGACTTCTCAATGAAAATTTCTTACTATGAGCTCCTGATCCAGCTCAGTACATCTTGCAGCAGCAGCAGAATAAGCAACTGTCTTTTCTTCCAACTGCTTTTCAAGTACTGAAAGCTGAGAGGACTTCTTTGTTATCTGAAAATAAACAGAATATAAACCATTAAAAGAGATCTATTTTTCTTTCCTAAATGTAAGATTATAAAGACTTATACATGTATATATTTTTCTAACTGTGATGTTGATATAATGGTGCCTATGTACTGTAAGTACAGCCTGCTAAGAGCAGTATGGTAGGTAAAGATTATGGAGGACAACTGATTTAAGGTTTGTTCAGTTATTTGTGAATGCTTTCTTGAAAACTGACTTGTTATTAACTATTACTTTTTATTAGTTACAAAGAAAAGAAATTGTAAGGCAATTTATCTTCAATGTGTGCAATTTACCATAAATTACAATGACACAACAGTGAGTCAAATGTTCGAAAGCTATAATATTTGGGGTCTGTCATAAATATGAAGGGAAGGGTAAACACCTTTAAAAATCCATTCTGGCCAGAGAAAAAACCCTTTCACCTGTCAAGGCTTAAGAAGCTAGGATAACCTTGCTGGCACCTGACCAAAATGACCAATGAGGAGACAAGATACTTTCAAAGCTGGAGGGAGGGAGAAACAAAGGCTCTCTGTCTGTGTGTTTTGCCAGGAACAGAAAAGGAATGGAGTCTTAGAATTTAGTAAAAGTAATCTAGCTAGATATGCATTAGATTCTGTTTTGTATAAATGGCTGATAAAATAAGCTGTGCTGAATGGAATGTATATTCCTGTTTTTGTGTCTTTTTGTAACTTAAGATTTTGAATCTGATTACCCTGTAAGGTATTTACCATCCTGATTTTACAGAGGTGATTCTTTTACTTTTTCTTCAGTTAAAATTCTTCTTTTAAGAACCTGATTGTTTTTTCATTGTTCTTAAGATCCAAGGGTTTGGGTTTGTGTTCTTGGTGAGGATTTTTATCAAGCCTTCCTCAGGAAAGGGGGTGTAGGGTTTGGGAGGATTTTGGGGGGAAAGACATTTCCAAGCGGGCTCTTCCCCTATTATATATTTGTTAGACGCTTGGTGGTGGCAGCAATAAAGTCCAAGGGCAACAGGTGAAATAGTTTGTACCTTGGGGAAGTTTTATCCTAAGCTGGTAAAAATAAGCTTAGGGGGTTTTTCATGCAGGTCCCCACATCTGTACCCTAGAGTTCAGAGTGGGGAAGGAACCTTGACAGGGTCAGTAAAACAGCCATTATAAAACAAATTATGCTGAAACTGTATATACATGTTAAGAATCTGAATGCTAATGCAGTTTAATGCCATTGGTGAGTAACAGCTTTCATTGCCTTAATTTCTCTTGTGATTATCCAGTAATAGTTCTGGTCTCTGGCAAATATATGACATATTTCTCATTAAATACATACTCAGCATTTGGGTATCCACTAGTAGGTTTCTCTCTCTCTCACATGTGTCTACCACAAGAGGGCACACACTGACAATCTAAATAGCAACAATTTAAACTGCAGCTTTATAACCTGGGATTTCTGATGTTATTAACATACAAAGATCTGAGTTTTATCTTCAGATTTTCCTGCACCCCCAATAAATTTACTAATTCATATTCTCTCTAAAATAGTCTTGCATCAGAAAACAAACATGGCAATGAAAATTTTCAAAAAAGGGGAAAATCTATGTCAACTATTACATTTAATTCAGTGATCAAAGGTTATACACTTTTCAGCCCTCCTAACAACTTACTTCTCGCTGCAAGTTAGTAGTTTTTGCAGCCTTCTCCAGTAGTTCTTCCTGTATAATTTGAAACTGACCGGCTCTTTGGGCCATGCTGGTCTTTAAAGAAGAATTCTCCTCTTCTGCTTTTGACAGCTTAGCACGTAATTCTTCTATCTCTCTTGTGAATCTTCGACGCTCTTTTTCAAACTGTTTACTGATGAGTTCCAATTGTTGACATTTTCTCTCTTCTTTTTTTAAAAAAGTTTTATTTATAGATGACAATTAAAATTAGAGATAATCAAGTTATAAAAAAAAAAAAAGACATACCTGATGAAGACAAGGACTAGTTTGACAGTACCATGTTAAACTACCACATGATCTCCAGGGCTCAAGAGTAACCTCAGAAAATTTTGCCCTCAGAAGTCGGTGCTTGTTGTGGAGGTTACATTTAGGCTTTGGGAGCAAAATGCACTGCTCTGAATGTACACCTGAAGTCATTTTATAGCACAGCACTGAGGGCAATCAGAACCCTACTTTTCTAGAGCTGAAGAGCCCTAATGATAGTAGAAAAAGAACAAAAGAAAAAATGAATAACTGGAGACCCCATCTAACAGAAAAAAGGGAGAAACCTATGTTTTCCATTTGTAATATATTTTGAGTCTGGGGCCAGGGCAAGCAAGGGAGAGCCCATTAGCCAAAAAAAATAAATAAATAAAGTTAAAATGCACATTGAGCCTCAAGACTATAACAAACACCAAGGTAGCTAAACCTTGCTCTCCATAAGGGCATCTGTTATCTTGTTACAGAAAATATTAAAATAGCAAAATTAAAACCCACAAAAATGTTAACTTGCATTCTGCAGTCATTTTTAAATAACTAACTATGTCAGAAGGTATTTTATAGCTTTTAAGTGCACTATTTTTCACCATGCTCACCTGTTTGATTTCCAATCAATTTTACAGGTTCTGTTTCTAGGCCATGTAATCTGCCACTTTCTTGTCCCTCATAATCATTAGAAAGATGTTGAGTTACTTTACTGACAGTTAGGTTTGCCTGAAGCTTCTGAATTTCTGCTTCTTTCATTGCCAGTTTGATTCTAGCACAAAGAAAAAGATATAAAATGTTATGAGAAAGTAAAGTATTTTTCTCCCTTTAGAATAGTATTCAGGAGGTATTGCTACTGGCAAAGTCTTGTTATGGTTCAGGACCCTTAAAACGTACCTTAGGTCTGCAATCAGGGATTTGTCTGATTCACAACAAGAGGCATACATAGCTTCCTTTGCGGAGGAACTAGCCATTTGACGTTTAGAGTGATGCAATGTAAACTGCAAGTTAAGAAAAAAGAACTAATAAAAATATAAACTTTTTCTATGATAAATTCACATACTGTACAAGCAGAATGTTTTGCAAGGCACAAAGATTTGAACATCCTGGCCTGAGTGGGTACATATACATAGATTCCTAAAAAAAAAAAAAAAAAAAAAAACACATTTGGAGGGGGTAAGCATCAGAAGTCCCATCAAATCGAGCTGTGAGCAACAGGCACCTTGAAACTCAGGTCATATACTTAGATGCCTAAATTTAAATTTAGGCACTCAAATTTGAAAATTTTAGCCATTAAATATCACACTTACAGAGTATCAGTAATGGACTCCAAAGTTGAGCTTGTTTTGAACTTTTCACTTAAAGGAACGTTAATTCTGCTTTATTTCAATGAGCGAATTTAATCTCCCAATTTTTCACAATTACAGTTGAGAGTACATCTGAATTTGCTATTAAAATTATTCGGATAAAATAATTACTAACTCTCCCCCCTCCCCCTCCAAATCCATTCAGTTTGAAATTGGCATTATTACAACATCTCTGAGACAGCCCACTTTGGAGATTCAAAAATTACAAAGAAACAGTGTTATTCAACTTTCTTCATAACTCTGTAAATTTATGGAATGAAAAGCAGATGGAGAGATCAGCATCCACCACGTACTCCTGCTCTGCAGTGCTGCCTCTCTGGCTCTGCTACCCAGTCCACCTCCCTCTCTGCTCATCAAATTACCCTCCAGACAGCATCTAATCTTAGGTTTCTTTGTGACTCCTTCCCATCTATGCTCTACCCACCAAATTTCTTGCAGACCTGATAAAGTTCACAAGTGCAAGTCCCAGTTTGATGGGCCAGAGATTCATGAAGTTTCTTCTTCTTCTTCTTCTTCATCATCATGTTCCCATTACACCTCTGGCATCTAGGGAAGCAACAAAGCTCCTCCACTCCTGTCTGTTTCTGTCAAGTCTTTCAATGGTTCCCCAGCTGTGCCCCAGGTTTTTCGGTGCAGCTTCCACAGTTCTTCACCATGTTGTTTTCAGGAAGCCTAGTTTTCACTTGCCTTCAGGTGTCCATATTATTGCTACTCTGGTGATGAAATCAGTTTCCATCCGAAGCCATGGTCAATCCATTTCCAGTGCCTCCTGGCAATGATAGTCCTCCTAGCCTCTTGGCTGCACTGTGCCAATAGATCTTGGTTTGAGATTGTTCTGAGCCAAAAGATACGGAGGACTTTTCTGAGGCAGGTTGTATGGAATGAAGACAGTTTGGACATGTCATACAGTCTCATTCCTCAGCATTCTGCACTATAAAGTAATATTGAAAATACACAGCTCTGATAAATCCTGGGAGTTTGATTTTGGTGTTGTATTTTGATGTTCTCCAGACTTTATTTAAGCTCCTGAAGGTGTTCCTGGCTTTATTGATTTTGTTCTGGACATCCTGGTTTGTTCCACCGTCCTGGCTGATAGTACTGCCCAAGCATGTGAATGTTTCTAATTGGTGAGAACATTATCCTCTATCCATACTGGTGATGGTGAGGCAATATTAAAAGGTCATATCTGTCTTATTGCAGTTGATTTTCAGTTCATTTTGCTGGCTGAATGCATTAAGTCGAGTTGTTTTTTCTTGTATATAGAGTTGGGTATGTGATCAGAGATCAAGATCATATGCGAAGTCCAGGTCTTCAAGGGATGAGAAGGATATCCATTTAATGCCGCTTGGCGCGTCTTCTGTTGGTACACTGCATTACCCAGTCGATGGCAATGTTGAAGAGGATTGCAGATATGACACATCCCTGACATACTCCTATTTTGACTTCAAAAACTTCAAAACACTGTGATCAACACTGCATGTAAAGCTGAAATAAAAGCTTTTGATTATGTTGATTATATGGACAGGGATTCCATATGCCTGCAGAATGTGCCATAGGCTGGTCCTGTGAATGCTATCAAAAGCCTTCTCAAAGTCTATGAAATGTATGTAGAGTTGCCATTCTAAGCACTGTTCTATCATGTTTCATAGAGTCAAGATCTGGTCTGTGCATCCATGCCCTTTCTGAAACTAGCTTGCTCTTTTCTGAGAACGCTATCAACTGCCTCTGATATATGCTGGACAATGATCTTACACAATCCTTTACTTGGCACAGATAAAAATGTAATACCACGCCAGTTATTACAATCACTGATAGTTCTTTTCTTTGGTTCACTCATCTGGCACTTTTTCCCTTTTCCAGACTGATGTAAATAGAGGGGCCAGGATAGATGCTGCTAACTCAGGATTTACCTTGAACAATTCTGCATTCAAGTTACCCTTGCCAGGAGCACCCTCATTTTTTAAGGATTTGATGACTTGAATGATCTCTTCCTTAGTTGGGGTGTCTGTGCTGATATCAAGATCTTCTTCTGCCTCTTGGATGTTTGCTTCCTCTTTAGGTGACTCCCTGTTCAGCAATTCTTTGAAATGCTCTGTCCAGCGCATTTCTAGTTCTTTTTCTGGTAGTAGGTGGCCTTATTTGTCCCTGATGACAGTGTTTGTTGGGGTCTGCCGTTTACCACTAATAAGCCGCGTCATTTTATAGATGAAAAAAAACAATGAGGAGTTCGGTGGCACCCTAAAAACTAACGGATTTATTTGGGCATAAGCTTTCATGGGTAAAAAACCCACTTCTTCAGATGCATGAAGTGAAAATTACAGATGCAGGCATAAATATACTGACACATGAAGAGAAGGGAGTTACCTTATGTGACAAAGTTCCTCCTCTGCCTTGGTGGGTCCTACGCTTATTGGCAGATTTTCTCGCTTCAGAGGTTCATGGCAGCCCTCAGTTTGGCCATTTCGTGGCTCAAATCTGCCGTTCACTCAGTTAACCTCATCACTGGCCAGCATGGGGAAAGGAAGAAGAACAATCTCCACAGTCTCTGCTGATCCACCTAGCAGATCGGGGAACAGGCCAGAGACCTTCTCCTCTGGTGGAACCCACAGTCCAGTTCAACTCCTCCGTTATCAAGTAGGGAATTGGGGGGGGGGGGGGGGATGGAGGGAACCTGGGCCCACCCTCTACTCTGGGTTCCAGCCCAGGGCCTTGTGGATTGCAGCTGTCTACAGTGGCTCCTGTAACAGCTGCGTGACAGCTACAAATCCCTGGGCTACTTCCCCAGGGCCTCCTCCTAACACCTTCTTTATTCTCACTACAGGATCTCCCTCCTGATGTCTGATAATGCTTGTACTTCTCAGTCTTCCAGTAATACGCCTTCTCACTCTCAGCTTCTTGCACCTCTTGCTCCCAGCTCCTCGCACGCATACCACAAACTGAAGTGAGCTCCTTTTTAAACCCAGGTGCCCTGATTAGCCTGCCTGTCTTAATTGATTCTAGCAGCTTCTTGATTGGCTGCAGGTGTTCTAGTCAGCCTGTCTGCCTTAATTGTTTCCAGAAAGTTCCTGATTGTTCTGGAAGCTTCCTTGTTACCTTACCCAGGGAAAAGGGACTTATTTAACCTGGGGCTAATATATCTGCCTTCTACCACTCTCCTGTAGCCATCTGGCCTGACCCTGTCACCACTTACAAGTAGAGAACCAGTACTGACAGGGCCTATGCTTATGGGCTTATGCCCAAATAAATCTGTTAGTCTCTAAGGTGCCACGTGACTCCTTGTTGTTTTTGTGGATACAGACTAACACTGCTATCCCTCTGATACATTTTATAGACCATTCCTTGTTCACCACAAGCAGCTACATCCTCTGCTTGTGTTGCCAGATCATCAATATAATGTCGTTTGTCCGCTCTCACAAGGCATTTGACCTCCCGGCGTGCCTTGCTATACTGCTCACAGTATCTGTCCTTTACCTTCTGGGATTTTGTGTCTAAACCTTTTTTCTTCAGAGCTCATTTGGTTTCTACAGCGTTCTATGTGCTGGGTATAATCCACACCTTCCTTCTGCCTGTAGCCTAGACAGGCTTCACTGCTCTGTTTATGAATTGCTGTTACTTTGTCCCACTTCTTGTTGATCTCATCTGCATTCCCCTCCTTTTCATCAAAGTCTGCAAGTGCCTGAAACCTGTTCTTTAACTACAGAATGACAAGCTAAAGTCCCCTGAAACACAGAAAGCCTTCAATGTCATAAAGCCTATGTCCCTTGTTTGGTGGACCCACACTTCTCAGTTTTAGCTTCATGGAGGCTGTCACAAGGTGGTGGTTGCTGCCAACATCTGCACCCCTTCTCACTTTCACATCTGTCAGTGAGCGTCGCCATTTGCCATTTATCATATGGTCAATCTGGTTCTTATCTCTGCCATTTAAAGAACACCATGTCAGCTTGTGAATTTCACAATGTTGAAATGAGTTCCGCCAATGACTAGGTCATTCATATTACAGAAAACAACAAGCCTCTCTCCGTTTTCATTCATGGTGCCACACCCATGTCTTCCCATTGCTCTGTCCTTGTTTGTGTTGTCCTTACCTACCTCGGCATTCAGGTCTCCCACGACGATAGTTAGATCATAGCACGGTACCCTCTCCAACTCCGTCTGTAATGTAAGGTAGAATTTGTCCTTTACGTCTTCATCACTGTCATTTGTCAGAACATAGCAGTGAATCAGGGTGATACTATTGTGTTTCCCTTTCAGTCTGGCTCTCATAAGTCTGCTGCTGCTGGACTTCACTCCTTTCTCGAATGCTCCACTCCCTTCTTCAAAAGTATGGCAACACTCCCATGGTGTTGTCCATCATCCCATCCAGAATACAGCAAAGTTTCTCCTGAGGCTGTTGATAATCTTCCTGATCCCATCCATCTGCTCTCGCGGACACCAAAATGTGTAAAGCTGTAGCGTCTCATCTCTACTGTGACCTGAGCTAGCTTTCCTATTCCATACATTGTCTGTACATTCCAAAAAACAAGTTTGGTTTTTGTCTTGGTGTTGAGCACTTCAGTCTTCATGCCAATGGCTTCATTTTGGCTTTCATCACTGGCAGTCATACAGGTCATTGACTCCTGAAGGCCATCACACACAGTAATGGTCGAATTCTTCATCACTGTTTCCTAACATAGTGTGTTTTTTATGGGACAGGGTTGTTAGCCCAGACCAATCCAGCATGGTTGAACCTATTAGGAGCAAAAAGCGCCCCCCCACACACACACTCACACAGAGTCTGGGGATCATTAGAGCACACAAGCTGTCCCGCCATGACAAGGCACAGACACCAGAAGTTTGCCATTCAGAAAATGTATCTACAAGCTCCGTTTGTCAGCAAGTCTCTCCCTTGCTCTCACTGCTCCATGCCCCCTGTTGAGGCTGTTACAGAGGATACACCTTCACCATCTGGTAAACCTCATGCTGTTCAACAGACAGTAGCCCCAGTATCACACTGTATTACTTAGTTGTGTTTTGGAGAGTAAGTCTGCCACTGAAGAATCAGTGCAGGCCACAGAAGGAGGCAGGGTACAAAACTAGACAGATATCTGCTCCAGTACTGCAGTTTCTACATTCTTGAGAGTTCAGACACACACGTTCTTGATTCAGCTAAAGTAAAATGTTTAATTAAACATTACTGTATCTTCATCAGTGCATTTTGGAAGCAGAAAAAACAATATACAGACAGCCCCTAAGAAGATAAGCAACATTTCCAGATAGTACCAGATTAGGATTCTACAAGGTGCACAATACAAATTTATAATGATTTATCAATTACTGTACCTCTTTAGATGTACCTAGCGACAACTGGGAGATAATAGTTTCCAAGGTGCTCAGTTCTTCTCTTGAATCCTCAATTTCTTGATGACATAATTTTAGGCGATCATTTTGCTGTGCAATAAGTGCTTTTAGCTCTGCATTTTCACTTACTAGGGCACTTTTCTCTTTAAGTACTACTACTTTGTCATTAAGTTCACCCTCAAGCTTCAGGATCTTCTGTTCAGACTGTGTGAGCTGTGACACAATTTCAGTGTTTTTTGCCTCTAGACTCTTCATCTCTTCTTTTGCACTACGGTTCTCATCCTTTAATTGGCTACAAAAAACAAAACAAATAGATATAGATACATACATACACACACACACACAATAAAGGCTAGTTCAACAAAAACTCTAAAAGGCTGGAGTTTTGCTAGGACTTCGGCTATCAGATACTGGCAGAAAGGCACCCCACACAAAAATTGATTAATTATCTTCATTCATCTGGGAGTCTAAAAGAGACTAACTTCTCAGTAGTCTTTTCTCAGTGCCAAAAGCAGAGAAGCTAAGGAATAAAACAACATGGAGACTAGATTATCCTCTCATTCTTGGGATTGGTCCCTCCAGTTAAAGGCTGAAATGTTGTCAGGGTGCTGAGAGATATGCCAATGCCACTGTAACTATTTTGAAGATAGAGAAATCCAGAAACATGGTAAAACTGAGATATATCAATTTAAAAAAAAATAAGAAGAAGAAACACTTTTACCTTAATTGTTTCTTTGTGATTTCAAGTTCATTTCTATAGGCAACACATTTTTCATGCAACTTTTCTTTTTCTTTTACACAATTAACTAATTTTTTCTCTAAAGTTTCTTCTTCAGCTTGAACCTTAAAAAACGTTGTATAATGATGAAAACAATGATTTAAGCCACAAATAGTCAAAGAATATTCTGACAAAGAATAAACAAATTAAGCTGCTTTATACTGCAAAGATTGCTACTATCTCATTTCCTTTAGAGTAGACAGACAAGTAACCATACTGAGTGCTGTTCTGAGGCATGGGAGAGCAAGAAAAAAGCTTTTTCTTTAGTTGACAAGGAAAAAAAGGAAGAATCTCTTTGGTATTTTAGGGCCTACTTTTGGTCAGCAGTGATCTCAAGGTATGCAGCACAGTCTTGCCAATCTCCATGACCAAAGAAGCTTAACCAATGGCAAATTCGCCTTCAGGGGCAACTGCTGAAGGCTTATGTGTTTCCTTGACTCCTTTTCCTACCCAAGAGAAAAAATTACAGACTTACACCGTAATAGCCATGGAAGGTAAAATTAGGGACAAACAGTCCATGCTCAATTTCTCCTCAACTTTGCTCCCAGCATGGGTTCCTCTGGATGATTTATAGACAGCCAGGAGGGACTAAAACGTGGCCACCCTAATTTAGTACTCACAGCTAAGAGAATGCAGCGAACGCGAATAAGATAGTTTTGTTTACATGTCAGATAAAAGGGGTTTTCAGCCAGCAGATTCCACATGAGAAATAGACTACCTAGCAAAAATGGCCATACTCACTATTTTTTTAATTTAAAACACACTGTGGACATATAATCTACCTATGGAAGCTATTTGTTTTCTTGATAGCTATAATGAATAAGTAGGTATTCCTGCTGGAGGCATGGGATGGATTAGTCAAGCCTAGGTTTCCCTTCATCCTAATTTTGCATTGACCTCCTTAGAATTTTCAAGGCGTATTCTTGAAACAAAAAGAAAAAGCTTGGTTGCAAGAGTTCAGAGCTTACTTTATAACTAAAAGGAGAAAAGGTGAGTTGTGTGTGATAATATATTTGTATGATAGATACTGTTGTTGTTTGGGTTAAACCTCATCTAAATTGTTGTGACAGCCACCCCTCATTTAAGATACCTGTGAAAGACAGCTATGAAGCTCCAATTAAGACAAAGAGGGTACGTGAGCCAACGCAGTAAGCGGATGTAGTGAGCGAAGGGCTCCATATAGTCTCTGACTAAGGGGATGGGTGTAAGGAAGGAAGGAAGGAAGAAAGACACGCAGGTCAAACTGAAGGACCACAGAGACATGCAGAATGAAATCCAGACACAGACAGCCTGAACAAGCTGTCTGAAAGAGTTTGGTGCTATGAGCAAAGAAACCATCTCATTTATTTTGTTCCTTCTATGTTGAGAGAAACAGGACTTTGGACATTCTTTGTAAATAAACAAGATTACATCAAAGCCACCAGACCATTGTCAATTTCTCCACCCAACTGGAACAATCCGCAGGGCCGCAAACTTTGACTAGTCACTTGGGTCAAAAAGGGTAACAATACTTATCAAGCACTCTAAATGACAGTTTTTTCCAAAGTCTCCCTATATACTGTTAATGCTGCTTATGAGAATTGCTTTCCCACTGTAGCCATGGCACAGGGAACAGAAAACCTATTCTAATAGTTTGTCCCTACCATGGGTACAGTGATGCAGCAAATTCAATTAAGCCTTTGTGATTAAAAAAGTATAAATAAAAATTTCTTCTGCTAACCCTTTGAATGTGGGGCTAGCTACAAATATGTTTTATTCACACACTTCAGAAATGTTGGCTAAGTAAAATAAGTTACAGTAGGCTTCCTTCTACCCCATTTCTTATGCAATGGAACCAAGGCTGTTGACACTTAGCATTTAGATATGACCAAATGGATTCCAGTTTCCATTTTAAATCCAAATTGTGTGGCCAAAAACTACAGATAATCAAGTCTTACCTTTTCAAGTTTTTCAGTTATTTTCTCTCTGTATTTTTTAAAAGCTTTCGTCAGCTCTTCAGCATTAAACAGAGCCTCGTTTCTTTGCTGTTCAGCTCTACAAAAAAAAAGTGTCATATTTTTAAATACTGGTACAATACTGATATAACTATCTCTCAAGTTACCCAAACTTGAAATACAAAGAATAAATTAAATAGCATAGGGTAACTGAGCTTCCTTTCAACTTTCCAGTTCTTTTAGATACAACTTTTTAAATAAAATGGACTTTAACTTATCACATGAATTACTGCTTCATGTTTAAAAAAAAAATTAGGCATATCTGCAAATATATTAAATAAGCTACATCCAAGCAATAAGAAGGCTAAGAATTTAAGAGCAAAATCACTGCTGTACCCCTTCAAGCCCTGGGTCCACATGGCATCCACTACATTCAAATCCAAATACATCTTTGATTGTGAAAGTGCAATTATATAAACGGATTAGTGCCTACCCGTTTTATTTCTTCCTCTCTTTTGTCTTTAAAAAAAGAAAATACTATTACTGCACTGTTAAGCCTGAGAGATGCTTCCAAACCTCTGGAAATTCAAAAGATATTATACCCACAGCAAGACTGACTGTCACATTACATTTAAGTGGTATTTTTGATAACTCTTTATGATCTCAATCTGGCAAAAATTTACATATGTAAAGTACTTTACGCACTGAGAGTCCTAATGACTTCACAGGGACTACTCTGAGTGTGTAAAGTTAAACAGATGCATAAGTCTTTGCAAGTTCAGGGTCTATATTTTTACATTTATGCTTCCATACAAGTGTAGTGAGGATGAGTTAAAATTATTGTAGCAAAAATAGACTTTGAACATGTATTTCAACTTTCACCTGAGCATTGCATCATCAGGGGTTTTTTTGTATTTACAAAAAAAAGAAAAAAAGTTTATTTAGCTAACTTATCGCTGCCAAATAAAGGTGTGTTTTAATGAGTGACACTGGGACAGGGATCATTGGATATTGCCAGGATTAAAAAAAAAAAAAAAAAAAAAAAACAGACACCGTTCAAATTTAAATTAAAAATAATAATAATAATCATCTTAATCTTGCAGGTCACCTTTAAACAAACTTGATTTTCCTCCCTTTTTCTTCTACAATACACCCATAAAGAAAAGACAACTTGGTGGCACAAAATAATATTTAATAATTGGAGAGGGGGCATTTGCACATTAGTAAAATATTTTCTACTAAAAAAGTTTTGCTTGTTTTTAATTATATAAATCACCTCTTCCCTTGCTTGCTTCGATCAATTAAATCCATTTTCAATTTTTTATATTCTTCTTTAAACCTTTGCAAAATGTGTTCTTTTTCTACCACCATTTTCTGGCTTTGCTCTAATTTATCTTCTGCATCTCTAGAAAAAGAAATTAAGAATTATTAGACCACAACTTTTAAAAAAAAAAAAAATTAGCAGGTAGCTTTTTATATCAGAAGCATTTGGTTTGGTGGATAGATATCAAATAGCAATTTTTTTTTCCCCTTTTCCATATATGAAGTTCAATAGGGGGACTAGCTAGTCTGATATATGGGAAATCATTTTACCAGCCTCTCTATCCAAAGAAAGCAACAATCCTGTATTTGAGCTAATACAATAAGGACTAACCCAATTAAAGATATTAAAATTAATAAAGTTACTTATTTTGTAAAGTAAGTTTTGCCTATTTTCATCCTTATTAAACTGCGTATTGAGATTTTAATCAATTTGTGGTAGGAATTTTCATTTACTATCTGTTTGTACAGCTTCCAGCACAGTGGGGCCCTATCTTGGTCCAGGCCTCTGGGTACCACTGCAATACAAATATATAATAATAAAAATAATAATAATCAGGAAAGTCACCTTACACAAAATTCAGAGTCAATTTATAAGCAGGCTTGGCAGAATTCGATTTATTATAATTTTGAGAGATAATATAAATATTTAAGGACTTTCTTAAATTTTTATTGATTTAAATTTTCACAGTTGCAGAAAATTATGTGGAGGAGGTCAGACAATTATTTAATGACAACTTTTTGAATCTCAATGTCTTTTAAGAGTTTTATAAACCATTACCACACAAACTGTCAACATCACATATCAAATATCATTAACTCAACAAATCATACCTGTTTTTACTATTCATTTGCTAGTCCATTTCTAACAAGCCTAATTCAAAAGTCTAAATCACTGGATTTTGACTCTAATAAGTTCTCAAGCAACATTTTTCTTACTTTGCCGATCAGAAAATTTCAATCATCATCCATGGAAATATTTTTTCAGTGGTTTGTGTGTGTATGGTGAAATTGATGTTTACCGACATTTATTGATAAAAATTTGATCCTTCCAAATCTATTTATAAGACACTGCCTTCATTTGTATATAATCATTATAGAGATACATAGTAGTGACCAGTGGAATATCTGTTTTATCCTTAGCAATGCAGGGGACAGAGGACTGAGTGTGTTCTTGTGATAGCCCTGCCACACTAAGTGCAAAGGAGATCTTAGTGCTCTATCATGCATCATTACATTAGTTTAAAAAAACCCACAGACATATAAAACAATGTAAAATATATTTGCAAAGAAAGTGTCTCAACTTGCTTCCATAACAGGGTTTGCAACAGCTGTGTATCTCTCTGTTTTATGTGGATGAGAAAATGAAAGGGTTATTGTGAAAGTGGAGGACTTTTCGTATGTGTTTGCCAGGAGAAATTTTGTCTGTTTTTTTAAAGTATTCTATGGTTTTGAAGATTACAAGCGTGTCCAAAAGGGCCAAATCTAATGCTACTTACACAGACAGTGAAATCTGCTTCAGCAGGGAGATCAAGTTCTTACAGTATACTTAAGCAAATGAAGCATGTAAGTCAATGTGTGGCTTTAGTGACTGACAACTTTCGGGGACAAGCAGGACACTTTGCTTAGGTAAGTTTTATTTGGACAGCCATGATTGATTCTAGTGTAGTAAGTGGATATATTTGAGAAGACAAAAAGTTTGCTCATTGTACAATGGGCACAAATGTCTATATTTCTGCAATGTATATATAATCTCAATGGTAGGAGCACATTTATGTTTACCCCAGGTTATAAACTAGTTATTTACTTTAGAATTCTTTAGTTTGTTTATTTTACCAAATCTTCATCAATTACTTTTAATTCTTAGAACACATTTCATCATATCTTACGTACACTAATATAAAACACCAATATAACACACATAAATCGGCAACTTCTCAAGGACACATTTCAAAACTCCGTAATGGTTCTGATGAAAAGCACTAGATTTGGAAGGAATCAGTTTTTCCCAGGAACAGGAAATATGGTGAATTAAACAAGTAGACCAAAAGGTTTATAAGGGAGGGGAAAAGTACATTTACTACCTCAGGACTTTATCTTGAGCCGTAACTTCTGCTTCCAAATTTGCAATCTGTTCTTCTAACATAGGAATACTGACTGAATGTGTACCTAAAGCTGATTCAAGAAAAGAGATCTGAAATATAAACATATTTGGGACTTCATTAAAATTTGCAAACATACCCTACAATGAATTGTGCCAAAAGGTTGTTGCATAATTGAATGACATTGTCTGCCTAACCCTGCTATAGAAATTGCCAGGATATTTCCACACCATATTCACTCTGACTTCAAGCTTTCCCTTCAGTTTTGCACAATTCCATTCCATAAATACCATTCCTCTCTGAGACAACTGTAAACAAATTCTTTTTTAACATACCAAAACAATTTTTTCCTCCAAAAATTAATATTCCTCCATTTTCCCCTTACAAGCCAGAAAAATGAGTACCATATATACTCGATCATAAGCTGGTTTGTTTATAATCCAACCCCCCCACCCACCCAAGATGGCGAAGTAAAAATGGGCAATTTTTATGACCCATTCATAAACCGACCCTATAATTCCGGGGTCGGCAAACTTTGGCTCCCAGCCCATCAGGATATGCTGCTGGCGAGCTGAGACGGTTTGTTTACCTTAAGTGTCCGCAGGCACGGAGGTAAACTGAAGTAAACAAAGTGTCCCGGCCCACCAGCTGCTTACCCTGACAGGCCAGGACAGCAACTGGTGGGGAAATTTTTTTGGGAGGTGGGGGGGAGGGGGGGAGAAGCTGGGGGTCAAGGGAGTAACCCCTGTGACCACCCCCCATATGACCCCACCCCTAGCCCAGGACCCACACACTGTTCCCATCCTCTCTCTTCCCACCTTAGCTGGGGCGGGCTAGGGGATGTCATCTCTGGCCTGGCCAGAGCTGCTCCAGCAGCCTGGGCAGCGTGGCCGCAGCCTACCAGCCCCGGAGCTGCAGCTGCTTCAGAGGTTGGGGGGGAGAGCAGCATTGCCAGAAGTGGAGAGACTCTGGCCCCACCTCTTCCCTTCTGGCTGTGCTGCCTCTCTTTGCCCCCTCTCTTGGGGGAAGGGGCTGTGTCCCACCTCTCCCACTCTATAACCATTCATAAGCTGGCCCCCTTCTCTGATGCTTCCTTTTTTACTAAAAAAAATTCGGCTTATGAATGAGTATATATGGTAGTTTGTTCTTTGCCCTCTCACTCCCACTAGCTGTTATCTCTTCCTCTTTGTTTTTTCTCCAGCATCACTTGTCCTCTGCATAGAGTCTGAGAAGCACAGTTGCAAATTATAATATACTATAATATTTATTCTGCAGACCAACATGCACACAATAGAGTGGCTTACTTCTCAGTAACTGCGTTTCACAATATTCCTGCAATGCTGTAGTCTGCAAAGATTTTAGAAAGATTCTGTGTAAACAAGCAAAATAGTATTTCTTTAATTCAAGTATCCGTATTTTTTAAATATATGTGTAAATTATATTAACAATCTACCTCTCTCCATGGTCTGCAATATTCCCTCATAACTCATCTTCACTTTCTCTACACATCAGACATATTGCTCTTTATTTGGAAATAAGACCAGCCTTCTTCAGTTCTCATTGTTAATATGTATATAGGAGCCCAATTTGGCTCAGGCAGATATACTGCAAATATATTTATGTATAATGCTAAAATAATTTATCAAGTTACTTCTTGTATAGGTTACAGGGCATCTTTATTACTAGACTTAGATTGTAAGCTTTTGGGGGCAGAGACTGTCATTTTGTTATGTTTGTACAGCACTTAGAACAATGGGTCCTTGACTAGGGTTCCTACTTGCTACTACTATACAAATAAATAATAGATTATTTATAGATTTTAAGTAGATTAATCCAAGGTGAACCGGTATATTCTACTCAAAACTACAATATAGTTACCAGTGATTTATTTTTCTAAGATATTTTGTGTTGCTAGAGACCACGTACTCATCCTTTACTCCTGGGGGGGATTCGGCATTACTATGCGCCTGCAGAAAACGCCCCCCCGCAAATTCCTGCGCTTCCCTGTAGAAAACAGCAGGGAAGCAAAGTGAAGAGGGGGGTGGAAGAGGAGGAGAGATGACCATGGGTGCAGGTTTTTGGGAGGATTGCCCCCTCCAAACAGAGGTGAGGCATGGTAGGAGGCACACAGGTTTATGTGCCACTGCCTCCTGCCCCCCCATTTCTGCAAGTGCAGAGCTGCCCAGCTGAAGGAGGATGCCTCTCTGCTCCAGACTCTGCGGCTGAACACTGACTCCTGGGTCCTAGTGCCAGTCGTGCTCCCCTTCTGTGTGCTGGGAGCCTTCCTGTTTTCTGTGCAAAGTGGGGCTAGGGGAACTGAGAGAATGGGTGGGGGGGAAGAGGCAGTGGGGAAGAAAGGGAGGGTGAAATAGGGCAGAAGGAGGAGAATGGGGGCAGGGGGATAGAGAAGAAAAAGAGGATAAGACAATCATGGGGGAGGGAAGCAGGAGCCCTCGGCAGACAGCTGAGGCTACCCCCTTAAGGAGGCTCATCAAACCCTCACCCTGACAAACCCTACCCCCCCACACACCTGGCCTCCTCGGACAAATCCCCACCCCCAATCCCCCACCCCACTGATCCCCAACCAGCTGCACCTGGATCCTCTGCAGACCCTCCCACTGAGCCCCCCCACACCTAGACCCCCCGAACTGAGCCCCATATTTCCACACCCAGACCCCGCCCTGTGCTGAGCCCCAACCACCTTCACCTGGATCCCCAGCAGAGTCCCATTGCCCCTGTGCATCCAGATCTCCCTCTGAGCCACCTGCACCCAGATAGGTTTCTGTGTGGGGCAATCTCCCCACACTAAGCCCCTCTACTCTTGAATCCTGATGGGCTGAGCCTGCCCACCCACACCTGGCGCAAAGCCCCAGGGTGTTTCTGGGGCAGGTCCAGCCCTTACACTGTGTCAGGGTCAGGTTCTGCCTCACTGCCAAGTTTGTGATCAGAGGAAGGGGGGGCTTCAGGGTGATCTCCCACCTCAGTGCAGCCAGTGGCCTATGCGCCTCACTGCCATATTGGAGCCACATTTATTTATTTATTTGACAAATAAAATTTGCAGAATTTTAAAATATTGTACATATAATTTTTAGGCACAGAATTCTCCCAGGAGTAATCCTTCTAAGATACTCACTCTCGTTTTTGACTGAGTCAGTTCAAAGTTGATAGTTTCAATTTTATTCATTAGACAGTGGTTCTGGGAAGTAAAAGATGCATTTTGCTCTCGAAGGGCGTTCAGCTTCTCTCTAAGATGCTCATTTTCTTGTTCCATACTTTTATTAAAAGGAGCGGACACTGGGTAAGACTTGAGGTTAAAAAAAATATATATATGTATATCAACAATGCATCTTTGTAGGCCAATCTTACTTAACTTTTTAAACATCTTATTTCTATGACTTATCAGCAATATGTTACCATGCCTAACTCCCCAGTGCTTACTATATATTAGCTGAGAAGCCTACAAATGAAAGGGTAAAGTCAAATGTTCATAAAAATCACAAATGTGTAAAACAAACATGGCACCAAAAATAAATAAATACTTACTTTGGTTTGGGATTTTCTTTGAGAATCCCTGCTCTGGTGGGACATTTTACCAGCACTCTTATGAGCTGAATAATTTTGAAATTCAGTGCAGCTCGGCTCATCAAGATCTTCCAATGTTAGTCCAACAAACTCACTGAAATGAGAGCTGTGGACAGATTGTTCACTCGAACTAGTACTAGGATACAAAAACAAAACAATAATAAGCATTCCCCCTCCAGTAGTGTTTTTACCAAATATAACAGAAACAAAACACAAAGACAGACAATGAGTTACAATAATATAGTGAATAATATAGATTTAAACTACTGGAAAGACTTACAGCCTAGTTCTCTTCTTTCTTTTAAATACACACGTACCTGGAAAGCTCTTCCCCTAGATTTTGTAGATTTCTCTCAGTCTTCCTCAGTTGATTCCTTAATGCCTCTACATTTGCAAGCAAGAGTTCTTCATCATCATCTTTTTTATGGTAAATCCATAAATTGGATTCCATTGGTACTCTACATTTGTCTAAAATAAGTTTAATATTAAAATTTAGTTTGTCATCATTGTACACTATTTCTAGAAAGTAGCAGATATTTTTTCAATATTTTAAAAGGTTTTATGTATATTTGTTTTCCTTACATACAGTACATGCAAAGTCTCACTTATTGCCTCCTTTCATACCAATAAAAACTTGAAAGCATATCTATATACAATTGTTTTTACTTAGCTATTTCTTTATTCTCTTTGTTAACAAATATATTTGTGTTTTAATACGCACATCTTTCCTACGCCTGAGAAGTGACAGGAATGAGCATACTAGGGTTACTAAGTACAAATAGCTGAAGAATAGGTTTATTTTCTAAAAAAGAAATAGAATAGAATGAAGAATTGGCTTATGATCTAGAAAATATGTACCGTTGATAGTCATTAGGCACATCTGCTCTTTTCAATTAAAGAAACACTGCACAAAATAAAAAAATATTTAACTCTCAGTGCATCTCACTTACTTAAAAAAGTCCTGGAGCATCAGGGTGGATAAAAATCAATTATTTAAAAAAAAAATTGGATTTTATTTAAATCAGGTTTTTTTGATAAAGTGCTTTTTGAGGGGGAAAAAAAACCTATCTAAAGATAGTTTCAATTAAGATACATTATAGCTCAAAGAGATCTCATCATGGAATAGGAATTATAAATTCTAATTCTATAGTATGAAACAATATATTCATTTAATGTTTAAGAAAAGTTTTGAAAGTAAGTTCCAATAGTTCATGGATCAGGGACCCAATTTTATGGAGTTCCAGGGGCTTCTGTATAGATTATTTAGGTTAATCTTTCTATCTACCCAATGGGACTCAGTGCTCAGTCTAGAAGATACCATCAGAGAGGCTCAGTTTTGCAGTTCTCAAACTGTAGATTTGTGTCTCCAGAGATAACATGCTTGTTAAACAGCAAAAATGTTTTAAATAAATAATATATAGAAGTGAGAAACAACAGACAGAGCTCAACCCTATTCTCCCTCTGCAAATTTGTGTACAGAGAGTCAATCCCTTACCTCTCTCTAAAAGTGAAAAGTTTCAAAAAGTTCAATGAACAGAAGATTGTTCAGGGTGGTATAGATCTGGACAAGGAGAAGAAGCCTGGAGAGAAATGTGAGAAGGGAGGGACAGGCAGCAGAAACAAAAGTGAAACTGTTTAAGCAGCATATTCCAGAAGTCTTGAGGTCTTTGAGTGTAGCCTTCATTGATTTGAGATCTACCATACCATTCTCTCACTAGAAGGGAAAACCTAAAATGGCAGCAGGCCATAAAAGAGACCCAGTTTGGGAATATTTTAATGAAGTTCCTCTACCTGTGGGTAACACAGGCATGCATGCAAAATGCAAACAGTGCAACAAAGAAACGCAAGGCCTGGTTGCCCGAATGAAACAACATCATGAGAAGCGCTCCTTCTCAGGAGGAAGCTGCGCTGAAGATTATGAAAGGAACATGTCTGAACATGCAGGATCTTCAGGTGGTTAAACTTTTTTTATTTCATACTTCTTTCTTAAGGACTGCCCATCTTCCTTCTGGACTTGAATTCTCATGTTTGAACAAAAAAAATATAGCTGTTACTCTAGTGTACTACCATTTTAGATGCAGTTGTGATAAAAAATAAATAGCTGAAATAGGCAGAACTTCCTTTTACAATTTCACCTTTAAAGTAGTACTGAGTGTCAGTGAATGCAATGAGGAATACTAAATAAGCAGTATGGTAATAATAATTAAATAACTGCATTGACTTATTTTGTTTACGAGAATCCATCCTCAACATACAGGATTCTGAAGACTATCCACCTTCAAGATCACCATCATTTTCTATAGTTTCAGAGTTATCTGCCAATGATAGTGTTTCAATCACATCATATATTTCACATAGCCACAGCAGCAAAAAGAAAAAGAATTCTCCATCATCCAGAAACAACCACAGAAAAATTTGTGATAAAACCCAGCAAATTACAAAAAGAGGTAATTGATGAAAAAATTGCCCGGTTTGTTTATGCAACAAACTCTCCTTTCCGTATGATTGAGAACCCACACTTCATTAACACGGTTCAGTCATTAAGACCAGGATACAGTCCACCCAAAGGAGATGTCACAGGCAAATTGCTGGATAAAGCATATGAAAGAGAAACTGAGCAGCATGCAAAAGGTCTAGTGGGTTAAACTGTTAACCTGAGTCTTGATGGGTGGAGCAATGTCCACAATGATCCTGTTGTATGTGCTTGTGTGACAACAGAAGAAAGTAATGTCTTCCTTACAGAAACAATTGATACATCAGGAAATGCACACATAGCAGAACACTTACAAGAAGTAGCAGTAAAAGCTATAACAAACTGAAAAAAAATTCAAATGTCTAGTACGCAGCTTGGTCACAGACCATGCTGCAAATGTATCCAAGATGAGAAGAAACTTAGAAGAGAGTCCCAAGCTAATAACATACAGTTAAAGTGCTCATTTGATACACCTCCTAACCAAAGACTTCAGTGTTCCAGAAATAAAGGTTAATGTTGTTGAAATTGCAAAATACTTCCGTAACAACCACTTTGCAGCACCTGCTCTGAAAAAAGTGGAAGGAACCAAACTAACTCTACCACAAGATATGCGATGGAACTCAGTAATGGTCTGTTTTGAGCACTATATCAAGAACTGGCCTAATCTGATGACAGTTTGTGAACAGAATCGTGAAACAATAGATGGCACTGTCACAGCCAAAGTGCTCAACATTAGGCTTAAGAGAAATCTTGAACACATGCTGAGTACCCTGAAGCCTATTTCTATATCCTAGAACAGTGGTTCCCAAACTTGTTCTGCCGCTTGTGCAGGGAAAGCCCTTGGTGGGCCAGGCCAGTATGTTTACCTGCCGCGTCCACAAGTTCAGCCGATCGCGGATCCCAGTGGCCACAGTTCACTGCTCCAGGCCAATGGGAGCTGCTGGAAGCAGCAGTCAGTACGTCCCTCGGCCCGCGCTGCTTCCAGCAGCTCCCATTGACCTGGAGCAGCGAACCACGGCCACTGGGAGCCGCGATCGGCCAAACCTGTGGATGCAGCAAATAAACAATCCGACCCGGCCCACCAGGGGCTTTCCCTGCACAAGCGGCGAAACAAGTTTGGGAACCACTGGCCTAGAACAAAATGCAAGGAAATAGCTGTTCTGTTGCTGACGCTGTTCAGAATTGGAAGGAATTGAGTGAGATCTTAAAAGAGAAATATGCAATGATGGAATTAAATTACAAGCATTAAAAAAACAAATGGGACAAACATGATCTCCAGCTCATTTTCTTGCAAATATTCTCAATACTCAGTACCAGAGTCAAACTTTAACTGCTGAAGAAGAGGAGTTGGCTATGACATGGACATCCAGCAATCATCCATCCATAATGCCAACTATAATAAACTTCAGAGCTAAGGGTGAACCATTCAAGAAATATATGTTTGCTGATGATGTTTTAAAGAAAGTCAGACCAGTGAACTGGTGGAAGTCACTTAAACTCTTGGATTCAGAGACTGTTGAAGTGATCATCTCACTTTTAACAGCAAAAACAATAAGGAGTCCTTGCGGCACCTTAGAGACTAACAAATGTACTTGGGCATAAGCTTTCGTGGGCTTTTAACAGCAGTAGCTTCTTCTGCCGGTGTAGAAAGAATATTTTCTTCCTTTGGACTAATTCCTTGCAAACTGATAAATTGTTTGGGACCTGAAAAAGCAGGAGAGCCTGTTTTTCTTTTCCAGATTATGAACAAACAGGAAAATGAAGGTGAAGATGACTGAGTTAGCTGCAGAAGTCAATATTTTAAGTTTCTCATACTGACCTGGCTGACATAGTCTATTTAATTTTTGTTTTGTTTTGTTTTTAAAAAAATATTTCTTTTAACTATTTTAGTTTAAAACAATTTTAATAAAAACAAACCTGATTTTAAAAAAACTTGAATGCTTAAGTAAATTCAAACATTCATGTGCTTGTTTTGTTAAAATATTATACGTTTGCTGTTGAAGAAAAAAAATCCAGAATACATAACGTTGTTGTTTTAGCCCTGGTCTACACTAGGACGTTAGGTCAAATTTATCAGCGTTAAATCGATGTAAACCTGCACCCGTCCACACGATGAAGCCCTTTATTTCGACTTAAAGGGCTCTTAAAATCGATTTCCTTACTCCACCCCTGACAAGTGGATTAGCGCTTAAATCGGCCTTGCCGGCTCGAATTTGGGGTACTGTGGACACAATTTGACGGTATTGGCCTCCGGGAGCTATCCCAGAGTGCTCCATTGTGACTGCTCTGGACAGCACTCTCAACTCAGATGCACGATTGTCTGCCGTTGCTCTGACGCAGGGAGGGGCGACTGACGACACGGCTTACAGGGTTGGCTTACAGGGAGTTAAAATCAACAAAGGGGGTGGCTTTATATCAAGAGTATTTCAGACAGGACTTCATGGAGGGTTCCAATAAGAAATGGTGTACTTAAGTTATTGTTCTTATTGGAACAAGGAGGTTAGTCTGGCCTCTGATTGATACATGGCTAGATTTACCTCGCTGCACCTTCTCTGTGAGTGACTGCAGTGTGACCTAGAGGAATGAGTCCCCTAGATGGGGGACGAGGGGGGGGGGGGCTTGCAAATGAGTACAAAACAAATCTGGTCTATTTCTTGTTTTGATACATTCCATCTATCTTTTACATCTTTGGCTGGCAGCAGACGGTGCAGAAGGACTGCATGCCATCCACATCTCAGGGCTGCTCGGCAGAAGATGGTACAATACTACTGCTAGCCATCCTCATCTCTTGCCTGCCTGGCAGAAGATGATGCAATACGACTGCTAGCAATCCGTATCACCTGCCTGCTCACCATAAGATGGTTCAATAGGACTGACTGCAGGACTAAAGAGAATGACCTGATCAAGTCACTCCAAATTTAGTCCCTGTGCCCATGTCTGTCCAGGCGCTCCTGATCGACCTCACACAGGCGACCAGGAGCACCTCGGATATGACGATGACGGCTACCAGTCCTATTGCACCGTCTGCTGCCACAAGGCAATGGGTTGCTGCTGCTGTGTAGCAATGCAGTACCGCGTCTGCCAGCACCCAGGAGACATACGGTGACAGTGAGCTGAGCGGGCTCCATGCTTGCCGTGGTATGGCGTCTGCACAGGTAACTCAGGAAAAAAGGCGCAAAACAATTGTCTGCCCTTGCTTTCACGGAGGGAAGACGGGAACGGGGTCCTGACAATATGTACCCAGAACCACCCGCGACAATGTTTTAGCCCCATCAGGCATTGGAATCTCAACCCAGAATTCCAATGGGCAGCGGAGACTGCGGGAACTGTGGGATAGCCACCCACAGTGCAACGCTCCGGAAGTCGACTCTAGCCTCGGTACTGTGGAAGCACTCCGCCAAGTTAATGCACTTAGAGCATTTTCTGTGGGGGGACACACACTCGAATATATAAAACCGATTTCTAAAAAACCGACTTCTATAAATTCGACCTAATTTCGTAGTGTAGACATACCCTTAGTTAAATAAAACAATTTAAATGTCTGTCTGGTGATCTTCTCTTCCTAATACAGCATGGCAAGAAAATCCTCCAAATATTAATGAAAAAAGAAAAGGAGTACTTGTGGCACCTTAGAGACTAACCAATTTATTTGAGCATGAGCTTTCGTGAGCTAAAGCTCATGCTCAAATAAATTGGTTAGTCTCTAAGGTGCCACAAGTACTCCTTTTCTTTTTGCGAATACAGACTAACACGGCTGTTCCTCTGAAACCAAATATTAATGATTAACCTGTTGAACTGGAGATAGTTCACCTCCCAATGACTTCATAAATACCTGCTCCAATTAGCTTTGATAAATGAAATAACCAAACAATTATTCATTTTCTGATATAGCTGTAAAAGTATTCTGAAAAGTTTTCAAAATAAATCACTTTAAAAATGTATAGGGTGTACCTTCCAAAAATGAAACCTACATCTATCTGTGAGTTGTGAAGAATATATATTAAAGGTTGTAACAACCAAAAAAAATGCACTTTTATGTAGAAATCCATGATTAAATCAAGTCTTCCTGACTAGTGATTTAAATTGTAATTTAAATCAATGTGATTTCAAATCCACCCTGGTGAACATGGACACTGTGAGGTACCCTCATTTTTTTTTTGATCAAAGGCAGAAGTGAATTTCAGAACCCAGACCTCTCATATAGAAAACACAATGCCCTGAGCTCTCACAATTCAGATGGGGGACCATTAGCAAGTTAGCAACTACTTTCAGTGGTCAGAATGGTACACAAGGAGAGAATCGCCAGAACCCAAACCACATAGGAGTTTATAAGTGGAAGACCCATGCATTACATTTAGACCAGAAAAAAAACTGATAGCCAGTACAATCTACACAGTACAACTGTTGTGTGTGTCTCATGCAAGTATATTTAACTATGCTTTTATCACCCAGGTACCTGCATACCTAAGAACATAACTAATGGAACAAGATGTCATATTCTCCACTAGCTGAAGTTTCCATGTGATCTTCAACAGTAGCCCCACACAGAGTGCACCAGTGTCGTCCAGCAGCTCCCACTGGCCCAGAGCAGCAAACCGCGGCCACGGGGAGCAGCGATCAGCCGAACCTGCGGACGTGGCAGGTAAACAAACCGGCCCAGCGCGTTAGGGGCTTTCCCTGCACAAGCGGCGGAACAAGTTTGGGAACCACTGGTATAGTGGACTGACCTCTCATCTCACCCTTAAAGTGGCTCCTCCCAGTCAGACTCAAGACACATTGGCAAGGAATTCTGGGGAGAGGGGCCTTCACCAGCGAGCATGCCCAGTGCCACTACACACATACACAGATTAGACAGGCAAACAGAAGCAGGTGGGTGAGGAGGAAGAAAGCTTTATTCATACAAGTATCTGCAACAGCAGCAGAGAGGAAAGAAACCTTGCACGGTGCTTTCTTTACCCTCGTGTGTCGTCGTCCCCGGATCTTCTGCTCCCAGTACCAGCCCTGCCTCTAGGACTGAGCCCCTCCTACCCAGCCCATAGGAGTTTTTTTAAGCGCAAGATCACTTTCTGAATTTAAGTGCAACCCAAGATCTACCCTGCCCCTTCCCTGAGGCCTTGCCCTGCTCACTCCATCCCCCCTCCCCCCATCGCTTGTTCTCTCCAACCCTCACTCACAGTTTCACCGAGCTGGGGAAGGGGGTACTGGAGGGGGTGCGGGCTTTGGAGTGTGGAGGGGGCTCCGGGCTGAGCCTGGGCAGGGGTACAGGAGGGGATGAGTGTGAAAGCTCTGGGACAGACTTTGGGTGCAGGAGGGGGGCTCTGGGATGGGGTTGGGGTGCGGGAGGGGGTTTGGGGTACAGGCTCCACCAGGGGGCTCAATGATGGGACGGGGGTTGGGATATGGGAGGGGTGCAGGCCCCTGTTGGGCAGCACTTACCGCAGGTGGCAGCGCAGCAGGGCTAAGGCAGGTTTCCTGCCTGCCCTGGCCCTGCTCCTGGAAGCTGCCGGGACATCCCTGTGGCCCAGGGGGGCTGTGTGTGTGTGTGTGCGCGCACATGACTCCGTGCACTACCCCTCCCCTCCCGGCCAATGGGAGCAGAGCCTGAAGGCAGGAGCAGCGCCTGGAGACTCCCTATCCCCACACAGGGGGCATGCTGGCTGCTTCCGGGAGTGGTGCAGGGCATGGGCAGGCAGGGTGCCTGCCTTAGCCCCGCCGGACTTTTAGCAGCCACGGGTTGGTGACCACTTAGGTTTACCACCTTTCAAATGCAAAAAGCCCAGCACCCCCACTACAAGGCAAGCCCGCTGCAACCTCAACCCCCAACCACAAGGCAACTCTGCAACTCCCCCTTCAACAGCCACTTATAGTATTTAAGGAGATAACACATACATAAGATTGATAACATCCCAGGCTCCTCACTCTAGCTGACTCACCCCCCGCCCCCCTCCCACACAACACACACGCGGTGGGCTTGCGCGTCGGTGGGCCCACAGCTACAGTATTATCAACAGTTATGATCGGTTATCGCTTAAACTGCAGAAGTGGGACCACTGCTGCATCTGTAGCTGGGCAAAGAAACCTGTAATATTAGCTATCCCAGTGTATTGTCCGAATAGCGCCAGGCTTTAGACCCACGGAAAAAAGCCCAAATTACATTATTTGTCTGGCAAATCCGTTAAAAAAAAAACCACCACCAGCCAAGCCAGTCAAACACCAGCCCGGTAACCCACCCCGGCTCCTCGGCCCCGGAGCGCAGCACGTCGCGTCGCTCAGCAACGCAGCTCTCCACTTCCCCATGCAGCCCCCGGCTAGGCAGGACCAAGAGCAGCGGCGCCGCCACCGGCCCTGGCCTGGGGATCCCGCCGAGCCGGGCTCGCACTGTCCCCGCAGAACTGCCGCAGAGTGAGACCCGGGCCCAGCTCGCGGGAGCCCCGTGACCGTGCAGCCCAGAGCCCCCCGCCTACCTTCCCCAAGTAAGGGGGTTGGCTCACCGCCAGGAAAGCCCCTGTAGAGCAGCGTCTTCCCGCACCCCCTCGGGGCGCGCTGCTGAGCTCTCTCGAGGGCACTTCGCGCTCTAAAGCTGTCCCGAAAGGCGCCCCGTCGGCGCCCGTTCGTTCGAACTGCGCGGGCCGTTACATTCCGAGGACAGCAACAGCCCTAATTCTCCTACTACGCATGCGTACTTCAGCGTCCCTCCTCCCCCACCGCCTCTTCCTTCCCTCCTGGCCCCCTGGGAATGGCAGCCTGATGTCTGGGCACATCCGCCCACTTCCACGGGCATCGAACTACATTTCCCACCAGATGAACGTTGGGGGCGGTCCTTGAAGAAAATCCTCCCTTCCCTTTGCCGGCTGGCAGCGCGGTACCTTCTTCCCTGCCGCGGGAGCCTGACGGGGCGGTGGAGGGGCGCGTTCGCCGGGCGACGTTGAGAAACACTTCCGGGGCGTGGCTGCCGCGACGCGATTGGGCTGCGGGCACGGGCTGCTCCTCCCCGGGGCCGGCTGCTCTCGGCCGCAGCCGCCTCGCTGGCAGGCTGGAGTCACGCCCGCCTCCGTATCCACGAGAACATCCTGTTCCTGTCAGCCGCGGGCTGGGCAGAGCCGGAGCGCGCCGTGCCAGGCCCAGCGCTGCCCGCGGGGATGGGGACAGCGTCCCGCCTGCTCCTCCTCCTCCACAACCTGCTGCTGCTGCTGCTGCCGCCGCCCGGCGCCTTCGGATTCGTTCCCTCCCTGGACAGCGACTTCACCTTCACGCTGCCCGCCGGCCGCAAGGAGTGCTTCTTCCAGCCCATGCGGCAGGGCGCCTCGCTGGAGGTCGAGTACCAGGTGAGGGGACCCGCTTCGGGGCGAGCCACAGTGGGCGGAGCCGGCCCTGCATCCTCAGCTGCGAGCGTGGCGGAGAGCAGCTTTCCCGCCCGGCCTTCTCGTTGTGCCGCCTTCGCTGCAGCCGCCTCCTGCGGCGCTAGGCGGGAGCGGGCCCTGCAGGCTGAGCAGGGCTGGGTGCTCTCGCGGCGCGGCCTGCAGAGGCTACCTGGCTCCGTTGTCAGGAAGATTTATTAGCCAGGCATAAAGCTCGTTTCCGGACCCCGCGTCCCAGCGATTGGCAGTAACGGGGTAGGGGGAACCCAGGAGTCTTCCTGCCTGTCACTGGGGTTACTGGGTGGGCAAATAGGCTTGGGAAAGGCAGACGGGACAGTGAGGTTCAGCCTAGGGTTTTATCCCTCCAGGATTGTCCTGGAGTCTGTGGGAATTAAAGACTATATCATGTGATGAAACCTCCAGGAATAAGTCCAACCAAAACTGGCAACCCTAGTTCAGCGATCTCAGAGGTGCGTCTGGAAACCAGCCCCCACCACAGGATGGAAACTTTTGGCCAAGGGGAAAAATCAAGGAAAATGCTAGATGGGCCTCTAATGTCCACACTGGACTGCCAGGAGCTCAGGTTCAAATGTTATGCAAACGATCCTCACACAGCAAACTTCCCGACCTAACTATGTTTGTCTTCCAGATTTTGAAGGACTAAGCAGATGGTAGCAGGCAGGCAAAAAGTTAAGGTCCTTTTTATGCTGCTGAGGCAATTATGTGTGGAGGTCAGACTAGATGATCATTGTGGTTCCTTCCAACCTTAAAGTCTCAGTCTAAAAGTTTGTTAAAGCAAAACAATGATGGGGTCTGTTTTAGGCAGCAGATTGCGATGTATAGTCCAGCAGGGTTAAAGTTAGTAATCAGCCTCCTGCAGTTCCATGCAAGTATGTAGTGTTCTCTGCTCTTGCTCAATTTCTGTTGTTTTTCCCCTCCATCAGTCTGTATGATCAGCTTTATAACTTGCCATACTTCTATAATAAATTAGCTGTTGACTTATAGGGTCTGTTTACACAGATTTTTACAATGTTTGCAACTAGGTTCTAACTACTACAGTTGACTCCTTACACACTGTTTGTGTCCACCCACAGCTCACTAGTAGGTAATTCCTAACTGTGTGGCTGTGCCATCTTTTAACCTTGTTGTCACACAAATGCCAAGATGCAATTAAGGCTAACACAATTCTTCTGTATAGATAGGACTGCTTAACTTTACTTAAATTAGCAAATCCTCCTATATACAAAGGTATGTTGAAATGTGAAAAAACTCTCACAATTCTCAGACCTGCCTTCAGATTTCTGTATTTTTTTCAGATGCACTTACACAATAAATGGATAAAGGACAAGAACAGTTTCTTTCTGACTGAAATTCTCCAAAGACATGTTCACAATATAGTAAAACAATATGAAATTGATACAATGTGCTCAGATGATATCGCTATATCAAAGTTATATCACTACTTATCTTTCATTCTGGTCACCTTTTTCCTTAATTATTTTCTTCCTCCTCCCTTTCAGTAAACCTCCAATCTTGCATCTACTGAGGTCATTGAAAGTTATGCTATTGACTTCAGTAGGAGCAGGATTGTGTCCTGAGTGAGGAAGGTCTAGTCTGCACTTAAAAGTTGTACCAGTTTAACTCTTTTGAGTAAAGGTGGTGTTTATAAATAGTTATAATGATAAAAGCCCTAGTATGGACCAGTAATACCAGTATAAAGATGGCTTATACCAGTATATTTATTTTCCTTTCCATGTGGGAATAGCTATGCCAGTATAAAGAGCCCCTTTATACCAATATAACTGCATCCATACTGGTATAGTTAAAGCAGTACAACTTTTTAGTGTTGATAAGCTCAAAGGGTTTGATCCTGTGACATACTAAATGCCTTCAATTCCTTTTAACTTTGATGAGAGATGAGAATGCTCAGCATCTTGCTGGATTGGGATCCTAAATCTGCAGTACTTCCCTGACAGGCAGAAAACCACTGGAATCTCCTTTTCTGTGGCTGTAACTAGCGTGGTGAGTGTGCATGTCTCCTGCACTACAAACTCTGATCCTGGAATTTGAAACTGTGTAGCATCTTTCTGGCAAAAACCTGGTTCTGGTTAACTTGGTTTGAACTCTAGGGTTGATGAATTCACCCTTTAAATTCTCTCTGTATCGATTCCTTTACATAAAGTGTTTCTTTTCAACAATTCAAACAGGAGTTTTTCTTTTCTTTTTTTTTTTTTTTTGGCTGACTGCACAGGTTTTAGACGGAGCAGGATTAGATATTGACTTTTACTTGGAATCTCCAAAAGGTGAAATTCTAGTTTTTCATCAGAGAAAATCAGATGGAGTCCACACGTAAGTCTAAAATCTCCAAACTTGAACTCAGTATTATATACAGCAGTATTATAGTTGCTTCAAACAAATACAAAACTTAGAACTGAGTATTTAAAATCATAGTTTTTCTTAACAGTTGTAAAAACTGGTTGTATTGTTAATCTAAATAATTTCATGAATGTAGACTATAAGAAGCTTGTTAGCTTGTAAAATGCTTGATAAATTCACATGCTTCAATTACTTAGTTTATTGTTATATTATAGGCTTTTTTACTAAGCAGCTTGAGCACACAAATATTTCATATATAGGTACTCTTAATTTTGTATTAGTCTATTAATACGTCACAGATAGGTTCCTCCAGGAGTGAAGGATGTTTGACTTGCCATGGTGGTGGTCTGTTTATTGGCAGTCAACAGCCAAGCTCTCCCTATTGTGGAGTTCCAAAAGGTCTTTGCTGCAGGGTATTTTCTCTACTAAAGTAATCTGTTCGCTCTTTCAAGTAATCATTTATTTGGCATACTGGCAGTCTGATCTCTTTCCAGGATTTGGTTTGGTTTTTTAAACTTTGATATCAAATGTACCTTCTCAAATATTTGGGGCCAATATTGATACAATTAAAATTAATTAACTTCAGTGGAGCAGGGACCATTTGTAAAGATGAAGATTCTATCCCCTCTGCTCCTTTTGCAACCAGTGGTCAATTTAAACTTTTAAAGGGTATTTCTATTTTCCATAGCTAGAAGAAGTGGCTGCTGTCTTTTATTTTTAAAAGTGATTGTCAGCATTAATCTTTCAAAGCTTTAATTTTTAAAAAATAAAGTGAAGGAAAGCTACTACTCATCATACTAAGATTTAAGATCATCTGAGTTTGTTTTCTTAGAAAAACTTGGAATTTTCGGTTCTGCTATCTCATTCCCTAGTGTGTCCTTGCATTTCATTTATTTCTATTTATGTATAGCATATCTAATTATTTCTGTTTGCATGACTGTCATAATCACATAAGGAAGAATGTTAAAGAATGTAAGTTTAGAGCCAGCATTAAAAATACAGTGTAGTTTAAAGATGTATGTTTGCTCATATACAGGGTGGAAACAGAAGATGGAGATTACATGTTCTGCTTTGACAACACATTCAGCACCATTTCAGAGAAGGTGATTTTCTTTGAATTGGTCCTAGATAATATGGGAGAAGGAGAACAAGAGGACTGGAAGAAGTACATTACAGGCACAGACATGTTGGATATGAAACTTGAAGATATTCTGGTAAGTATTCTGCTCTACAGCATCAGATGGTTGAGGTTTAAGAGAATCTGAAAAACTCATATCATCATTCTGCCATGGGAATATGCCTTAGTCTTGTTCTATGTGAGGGCCTGAGCAGCTGGGAAACAGAGTGATCAGCTGCGTTCCTCATAGGACATTATGTTCACTCTGTCCCATATTGAGGGGGGCCTGTGGTTAAAGAGCAACATTGGGAATTAAAAGATCTGGATTCTAGTTCCAGTTCTGCCATGGATTTCCTGTGTGGCCCACTGCAAGTGATTTAACCTCACTGGGTATGTCTACACTGCAGTTAGACCCCCATGGCTGGCCCATGCTAGCTGACTCGGGGTAAGGTGCTGTTTAATTGTAGTGCAGGTGTTTGGACTCAGGCTGGAGTCTAGCCTCTCAGAGCCTGTGAGGTGGAAGGGTCCCAGGACTTGGATTGCAGGCCGAGCCCAAATGTCTACACCACAATTAACAGCCCCTTAAGCCCGAGTCAGCTAGCACAATTAGCCTGAGCCCTGCAGGCCCAACTCCGCCGGCATGGGCCAGCTGCGGGTGTCTAATTGCAGCTAGACATACCCTAAGTGTCTGTGAGTAATAACTATCATAGGGGAGCTTTGAGTCTTTGCTCAGTGTGATTTAATAAGTTCCTTGGATGAAAGGCACTAAAAAGTACAAAATATTACTATGGTTATTAAAACAGAATCCCAGTGTGCGTGTATAGTGGCAGGTTTTTTCATTGTTTTGTGTCTGTGCTTATGGTGACTTAAGGTTTATTTTCGACCTGGAGCAATTAACTTGATCGTGTACATATAGAATTTGGGATCAAGCTCAAGCTCATTTTGAGTGAGCAAGTGACTTGAAGGCACAAAGAAAGTCATAAATCTGACCTATTTGGTAACTATATATACACAAATGTAAAGTGGCTACCTCTTTATCTTCATAAGATAAGCAAACATATTTCCTAGAGGAACAGCAATAGTGCTGCTGCTGTACATCTCAGTGATGGCTGCATTTCAATGATGGGCAAAACGATTACTACCTACCACTTACTGCATAACATAGTATGAGGCTTAATTAGCTGACATTTGTAAAGTGGTTGGATGATAACTTCTGTATAAATATATATCATCATCATTCTTAGGCAGAAGAGAGAGAGGGGAAGAGAAGTGATCAAACTCACATGCATATAAGCTAGCCCCCATTCCCAAAAGTTGCCCTGAAATGTTGACAAATTTCTCTGCTTATATATGCCTATATACACGGTACTCTTTTTCTTTTCTTCCATGTGGTGTTTTGGTTAATCACAAAGTATATACAGTCCTCGATCTGCCAGAGGATAAATCAGTTTTGCATATTGTTTCATCTAAAGAATCTTCTGTAGCCCTGAGGATTCTTCTACTTGTACGCGTCCACTACCCTGCTACGTAAGGTCCAACAACACAATTTTCTTCCTTCCAAATGAGAGATTGGATGGGAAATCTTTCAGTGTGTGTTTATGCCTCACCTTGCACAGTTGGAAGGGACTGTGTATGCAGTAGTCTGAGTCCTTTCACTGGCCACCTGCCTCCCTTCTCCACATTGGAAAAGGGACAAACGAACAATGCCTCCAATAGCTAAAAGGTGGTAATACTTCTCTCAAAGGGATGCTCTGCTCAGTCTCTGTGGTAGAGTCAGAAGCACTTGTTGGATATATCCTTTGATGTGTCTCATAATTATGCTGTTGGATAACTCTTGTTCTCATCTTGGCTTAGTGCCCTAGTCACTATATAGTAAATGGGAATAAATAGCAATTAACAAAGATGGGGAAAGAGGAAATAAGTAAAGCTTTAATATAACTGATACTTCTAAACAGTGGCTGAGCTGTTTATCTGAGTAATACAACTGAGGACTCAACCTTGGAGGGATGCAGATGAGAGTTGAGGGAGAGCAGTGTTAATCCACCAGTCAAGCTAATGAGCATGGTATTTTGTTGATGATGAAATACAATGAAGTCAACTGCAGGGAGTGGCTTCCGTAGTTTGTTGAATTGGCAAAGACATTATGCTATGCACACACTATGTCCCAAGGCATTGAGAAAATACCTGGGAGGGATACTATTTTCATGGAGCCCTTGGAAATGTTTCTGTGTCAGTGGCTGGCCCTCATGGCTGCCCAATTATCCTTCTGCCCCCTCCCTCAGGGGGGCGTGCAACTCATAAGCACACTGGAGCCAGCCTGCTCCTAGTTCGAAATCAGAATAACTGAAAATCCTAACGACAGGCACTCCATACACCATTTGCTTTAAGTGGTATCACTGAAACCATATACTGGCTTTACCCTATCTCCACTGCCTGCATCCCAGTCATAGCCTTTTCCACCTCCCTCGCAACAGCATTCAGTTCACTGTGGGTGTAGAAGCTTGCTCTCATTGCTGTGACAGTTTTTTCAAACTGTTGTATAAGTTCCTCTGCACAAACTTTGAAGCAAATACTGAGTCCTGGACAATAAGGCTATGCCTGTGCTCGTTGCAGTAGTGCTTAGCAGGCTACAGTACTGAGCCCTGAACTTACTGAGTTAGACAGAGAAAATAGAGTCCTTCCAAAAAAGCAGAATCAGCATGCACTAAAAATTTATTTACATACCATCTGCTGTCCCACAGACTACTCATCCATGTAGAAAATGATCTAGTTTGTGTATCAGGTCCTATTTCCTATAATAAATGAAAACCAGGTCTTTCTTTGCCTAACACAAACCAGAACTTAATAGAATGTTTAAGATGCCAAATCCTTTCTGTATTTATTTTAAATACATTTTAAAATATTGAAAATTAGATTATCCTTCACTTCCCAACAGAAGATAAAGATTATAATTAGAAATATTAACTCTTAATTTCTAAAGGAGTATAAAGATGCAGAGGTGGGATGTTAATGCCACAACTTTTACAAGCAAGAATCTGAGTTAATGTTCAGACAAAGTCTGCCAGTCCTCCTTTTTAAACGGGGGGCCATACAAATACATAGGAGAAACAGTCAACAGTATAAGCAGTAGGAGAACACACTCAAGAAATAAAGTCACCTATTACCTGAACACAGTTTGACTGCTGTGTCAATAGGTGCTCTATAAATAAATAAAAACAACATACTGTATGCTAATGCTAGCTCATTTTGTGTTAAAGGGTATCTTGGTCAGATAATCCAGCTGAGAACAGTTAGCTTTGTTTTGCAGTCCAGTAGTGCAGAATGGAACTGTTCATGAGCCACCTGATACAGATAATGGACCACTCAGATATCTTAAAGATACAGATTTGCAATGATGTTGGTTTGAAGCTGTACATTGTGAAATAGCTTGACTAATTTTGATTATTAAATCTAAATATAGCAGTTTTGGTTTATGTCCATCTAGTTCTACATAAAGTATAGTGCTGGTTTAATCTAAACATTTAATTTAATCTAAACATTCAGAGGACAACAGTATGGTGTCTTTCCTCTAATAATGTAGTTGCCATATCAGATGCTTGCTTGACACAGTTTATTATAGGACATGGTCATATGGTGCTGGTTGTGAGCACCTCATCTTTGGTCTTCATGTCCCACATGGGTCTGACATAGCCCAAATTTGTTTACTTTTAGGGCATTCTGCTCTAAGTGTCTCTCTTTCTTCAGCGGGTGGGGTCTTCTTTTGTTAAATAGTTGTGGATTATTTTTAATGGATTTGTTAAGATGTCCAGAGCCTGGGATAAATATTACTTATTTAAATTCAAACACATGAAAATATACACAATAAGGCTAAAAAATATTAATGAAAAGTTCATAATGTGTAACATTCATCAGTGAAGTAACTGTTTTACCTAACCACGAAATGAAAAAATGGTAGTGACACATGCACAAATAAAAACCAGCAATGTGAATGATAGTGTGAGAAGTGTGATATGTATTTATATTAGCAGAAAATGTACTTCTGTTTCCTTCCAAATGATTTTACATTCTAAAAAAAACACTATTCTGTTCCTTACCAGGAATCCATCAACAATGTCAAAGCCAGGTTAAGCAAAAGCCTCCAGATTCAGACGCTGCTCAGAGCATTTGAAGCTCGTGATCGAAATATACAAGAAAGCAACTTTGACAGAGTGAATTTTTGGTCCTTGGTCAACTTGGGAGTAATGGTGGTGGTTTCAGCTGTTCAGGTTTACATGCTGAAAAGTCTTTTTGAAGATAAGAGGAAAAGCAGAACTTAACAGCAAGTGTGATCAAAGCAATAACCAGAGAGGAGGGGAAAATGCAATAAACTGCTACAGCAAAAGGGACTGGTGTTACCTTGCTGCTTGTTTTGAATAGACATTATAATCAGGTTCTTGATTCACATATGACTAACATGAACAGAATACCTTTGCCCGCATCCTTCCATCTCTGCAAGTGTTACTAACAGTCTTACTGGTGCATCTGTTTTGTTGGTTTGTTGCATTTGTAATGATTCTTACTAGATTATGCATAATACACAGAATGGTGGATCAAATGCAAACCAATGTTAATACCTGCCAGACAGTCATCTTTTCATAGTCACTTGAAAACCTTTTTATGTCCGCCTAAATAATAATTTGTTTTTTTACAAGTTTTTAAATAAGCATTGAGTAAAGTTACAGATGTGCCAAAGGATTGAGGCCCACCTATGTAGGCTATAGCTATTGTAAGTTCTCCATAAATGTAAATGTACAAAATTTCCTTGAGTCTTTATTGTATAGCATAATACAGAAACACTGGGTTAACATTTGTGAAGTGGTTAAAATGAGAAGTTATTTTTTCACTTTTATATATATATAGTTATATATCTCTCTATATATATCAGCACTTTAAAGAGACAGTTAATGTGAAATTTAGTCAATTTATAAACTAATTAAAAGTAGCATCAGACACTATACCTATCCAAGTCCTTCTGCCAGTTGTTGTGATTGTACAGTCCCATTTTCCTGTTTAGTTGGTTGTTGCTGTGTGAAAGGTCCACTGGAACAGTGATAGTGACCATACAAAGTACAGTCAGATGCACAAAATAAAATGGCATTATTTAATCTTTAGTTATTGTAATCTTAGATATTATAACAGTAGATACATTCAGACAGAAGTGAGTTTTTTCAGATGACTGTGTTCCTTTCATAGTTTTTAGGTAAAATTGTCTGGAAACATTAATTTGACATTAAATGTTTATATACTTCCAAAATCCTTTCTATATTACTAATTTTGCTAAGATGTTTTGCTCCTTGAGGTCAAGCAGGTTTATGCCACAATTTGTAGCAGTTCACAAACTTCAGAGCTAAAGTTGTTCAGCTAAACCCGCCCCACAAAAAAACCCCAACAAATCTGTAGTCACATAACTATTTTCATTCTACTCCCCTGAGTAGTCCTATGAAATTAATGGGACTACTTGCATAAATAAAACAGAATTTGGCCCTAAATTTTGAGATTTATTTGGAGCATGAATTGATTAAGCAAGGTAATGCTCAATCATAGAAGCAGTTTGCTATCTTTCTCAATAAAAAGGCAAGTGGCTTGCATCAAACCTACCATTTCTTTCTGCTGAGGGAGTGGAAAAATACGTCTCATCTGTGCATTTGTCTTCTTTTGTCATAACCTTAGTATTTTGAGTGCAGTTTAAGTATTTTGTAATCAGCCTAGATTCAAGCCAAGTGCCAACCCAGTGGAAGTGCCCATAGAAAATTGTGTTAGCTCTGAAAGTCCATGTTAAGACTGCTAGGGCTGTACCACTGTTCACATCAGCTGTCTTTAAAAAGATTTAAAACATTTGGTCTAGCCTAGGTATGCAAGTGTACTGCCTGTCTTTGAACTTGGTGTTAAGAATTGAAACACTACAACTAGACTGTCTCCTTTGTGATCACATCTGCCTGAAGGTCATTATGCTGGAGGGCCCAGCATTATCTCCTAGAAGAGGATGGGAAAACATTTTTCAGTGCATGGACTTATTAAAATGCAGTCATTGTGGCATAGGTGCATTGGCCACTTTTCTTTAGCAGGGGCTATCATATATAGAGATTACACTTTAGTTTAAATTTCAGATGTATGAATGAAGACTAGCAATAACCCTTTTAAATTACTGCTTTTAAGAAAAAAATACTTTAAAAGGTGCTACTGACTATATGACTTCAGGGGCAGCTGGATCTGCCCTCTGTTAGTCTGGGAACATAATATAGTAAATTCTCATTCGATGGGCAAGTTAGTGATAGAAAGGTCTAAGGGAGGTGTCATTTGATCTGTACAAATTTGCAGAATCATAATTTCAAGGTGTTACCCTCTGTGGTGTGGGAAGAGGGATTCATTGTTCGTCCCCTCCCAGCTCCTCCAATTGGTGGACATTTTGATCATAGTGTCATTGGAAATGGGTCAGGTTTGGAATCACACTTCACAGAAGTTGTGTGAAATACTATGCGCTCCCAAATCAATCTCGCAGCTCATCAAATGCTCACGACCCTGCAAATGTTTGGCCAGCAGCCTGCCTTGTACAGAGATGCGGGAGGGTGGCACAGACAAGGATCAATGTGACATGTCTAGCAGTGCTGCTCTAGACTGAGACAACACTGAGGATGACTTTGATGAATAAATGTTTTCAGTTATAAGTGTCAAGGCTAGATTCTTTATGATTGCCAAAGATCAATCTCTTTACTTAAGCCATGCATCCCTGTGTTAAATCATAATTAAAAAAACATTTTCTCAAATATATACATAATTGTTCGAGGTTTGGTATGTTGATACCATTGTGTTTGTGAGAGAAAGGGCTTCCAAATGATACCCAACCCGTAATACATTTCAAATGACTTTGTATTATCAAAATTCTACCAAGTGGGGGGGGGGAGCACTGAGTCCCTCCTGCCATGTTGCAGAGGGTGACACCATTGAACTTACGAGCTTGGAGATTTTTACAAATTGAATTACACCATCCTTACCTTCCTTTCATTAACTTGTCCACAGAATTACACATGCTCCCACAGTGTATTGGATACATCTGTGGTTCTCACCCTTTCCAGATTACTATATCCCTGAAGCCCAAGCCCTGCCACCGAGAATTGAAACATGTAACTTAGCTGTGTGAGGCCCTGGGCAATTGCCCTGCTTGCCACCCCTTAACACTAGCCCTGACCTTGCAACTTCCCTAAACCTATGCCATGACCCCAGGTTGAGAAACTGATGTAGATGAGTTAATGTACCCTGGAAGACCTCTGTGTACTCCTCAGGGGTAGGCGTATCCCTGGTTGGGAACCATGGGATACATCATTCTTTTGGGTAGGACTCCCTTCAGAGCATTCTTTTGGGTAGGACTCTCTTCTCCCTTAATTGATGAGTGGGGCAGTGGTAAGCACCATGAGGTATTCCATTCCTGTTCTGCAAATACTTAATGCCCTATACCTAAAGTATTTGCAGAACAGGGAACAAGTAGTAAAAAAATCTCCTATAGGCCTGATCCAGAGCTCATCGAAGGCGTTCAGTGGAATGGCTCCCACTGACTTCAGTAGGCTCTTTTGAGTACAGGCAGACCCATGTTCCTAGGGCTCTGTCCTTTTAATAGAAGATAGAAGTGATGCGGCCTTAAATGTAGCACCACAAATGTGATGCTGCACCACAGCTGTGAAATGCTGCATTCTTTCCATGAAGCTGTGACTAAGAAGTCTACCTCTGACGTTAGGCTACTGTATTCTAGCTCTTAACTCGGTTATTAGAACAACCCTTCGTATTGTAACTTCTTCTCCATAACAAAATCCCCATCTCATAAAAAGTTTTAAACAGAGGATATACTATAGATGCAGCTGTATGAGACTTTGTCAACTGAAAAATATTTATCAGTGGCCATGGGTGAAGGATATGGGGTTCAAACTTAGACACAATAAATGACGTTTTAAATGGGATGTTGGACTAAATTGTTCTTGTGTTTTGTATAAAAGGTACAAATCAAATATTAACTGAAATAAGGAAAACAAATCTAGTGTGTAAGATGAACTGTTTTTATTCTGTGCTAAGTAATGGTTAAAGTCTGTGGATGTTGAATAAAATTATATGCCAGAAGTTTAGATTTTACAATAAATAAGTCTAAATTTGTGTTTGTGCACACTAATTATAACAGTTGTAGGAAGAGCACTGCATCTTTGCACACTCTACCCAGGGCTTGATCCTTTAAAGGGCTAAGCACTCTCAGTTCATACTGACTTCAACAGGATTTGAGGGTGCACAACAGGTCCATGACTGCTCAGTATCTTGCAGGATTGAGCCTTAAAAAGAACAAGCATTGTAATACAGACTGATTGCGTAGCACACAGCAAAGCTTCATGACTTCCACAAGGTCAAAGCAAGTCCACAAAGCAAGTCATTCAAAGATTGAATTTCCAGAACTACTTGTTCTTTTAAGAGATCGGGTTTCACTTGATAACCCTAGATGGTAACACCTGTAAATTCAATTTAATGGTAAAAGGATTAGGAATGAAACCTGTGCAAAAGATTATTATAATTTATTTTCAAGTAAGATCAATTGACCTTTGAGTTTCTGCCTTGCTTGAAATATATACCACGTTTCTTCTCCAGTGTATAATACTCCCTTGTGACATTTCTTTCCTTAAGAGATGTCTCCTCTAAATTTAGTGGTGAAATTCTGCTCTCCGTTACCCTAGTGCAGAAGCAAACTAACTGACATTGAGCACAAACTCCAGAGTTACAATGGTTTGAGATCAGAATTTGACCCATGTCCTCTAATTCTTTAAACAGTAGGGGGGAGAAGTTTAGTTTTGAACCTATATAATTTACAAATCCCGATTGTCATCATGCTTAAAACTTTAAATATTTACATCTTCATTAAATGTTAACAATCTTCCACATATGCATGTGACTGGATAGTAGGAGTAGCACTATATTTTTTCATAAAATACTAGGGTATCACACACTGCGCAATGAAAGCAAGCCGAGATTGTGAAATGAAACATATGTTGCCAGGTGTTTGTGTGAATTTCATCCTGCCTGTGGAACTCAAAACTCCCCCAATATTTTAGGGGAAAGGAAAGTGAAAAAATGCAAACAATTTTTGGAACTCTTTAAGCTTTCAATACTATGTGTAAGGAGGATAGATAGGGTTTAGGAAAAGTAATATGTGCAATCTTAAGGAAATTATGGTAAGGTTCATAAATGCTACTGCAATTGGCTTAGTCTAGTTTCAAGATTGCTAGCAGACAAAACACAGTTAAGAACCAGAGTAACTAAATAATTCTGTAATACAGTGGTCACGGAGGTTACACAATGTGTCTCAATTATTGCAAGATACGATATCCCTTTGACAGTAAACTATTGCATTACACAACCATAATACGTGCCAACAGAAATAATCACTGACCTTTTATTCTTCCCCTTGCCATGAAAGAATGCAGAAACATCCTGGCATGAGCTAGAAATTTGCACATGACAAAGCATTCTCTCTCTTCAAAAAGGGGCAATATAGCATTTACCATCTGTTGTGGAAATGCCTCTCCTACTGTTCTAGCTTCTCTTTGCCATGAGCTTGTATGCATGCAAAAGCAGGCAATTCTCCATCTGTTAAATACTTATTGCCAAGTTTCAGGGTATGTGTGTTATAGACTTAACTGGGTGGACTTAGTAGGACAAAAAGGGCTACATATTTCAAGTCTGCAAATACAGTTATGATACTGTATTCAAGAAAAAATGTTTTATACCTCCATAAAGCAACCCGCCTCTCTTCTAAGGAGAAGTGGGCAGGGGAGAAGATGACAAAGGAATTCTGGATTCCCAGTTGAGCTGTTTAGAGTCAGATTTCTAATTTTGAGCTGAATCCCACAGTTCTTACTCAGGCAAAACTCCTAGTGCTATAATCAATTTGAAATTTTTAATTGAATGTTTAAATGTTTAATGTTGATTGAGTGAGAACTGCAGAATTTGGTCCTATGTGATCATAAAATAATCAGTGGGCCATCTGGCAGCAGGAGTAGGCCAGCTTTTGGGAGGGAAGGGAGGAAGATATTAGTCCAATTTTCTCATTATTTGCAAGAATAAATAAGCTTCTGAAATCACACTCAGTGTCTAGCTGAAAGCAACTGAAAAGAGGTTGGTCATTCATTAGTAGATATCACCAGAACACATGGCCATTGACTGAAGGATTTTGTAGAAATCACTTAAAAGAAAGTAATAGCTAAAAAGCACCATAATCTACCAGAG